CTGCGTCTACTGAAAATATTTTGTGGCCACAGCTTTTAAGTTCTGGGTTTTGATACGTAGAAATTAGCTTTCCTATGATACATTTGAAACATTTTTACATTATATTGTCATTATAAAAAAATGGCATGACGAAGTGGACAATTAAACTCCCCTGTGTGGATGCAACATAGGCCTATTGCAACCGAGTTTAACACCAATATTACGTCGACTGGGAATATTTTGTGAGCATAGATTTTTATGCTGGGTTTTGACACGTAGAAATTTGCTTTCCTATGATACATTTGAAACATTTTGACATTAATTGTCAAAAAAAGGCATGACGAATTATTGTTATAACTCAACCGAATTCAACACCAATAAGCCTATTATTACGTCGTCGCGCACTGGAAATATTTTGTGACCACAATTTTTCAGTGCTGGGTTTTGATACGTATAAATCCTTTCCATAATACATTCGACACATCCTTGCATTATATTGTCATGAGAAAAAAAAAGGGATGACGAATTATTGTTGTACTGTAAGGGCCTTAAAAAATGTTATGTTGGCTTAACGGGCCTCAAAAAATAGGGTAGGTAGGTAGGGATTTTTTTTACTGCCACAATATTTATCAAAGACCTTGAAATCTGTAAAATCAATTAAATAAGCCTGTAAAGCCCCTAATTGTCATACTTTTCGCCCTTGGACCACTTTTGAAATATTTTGAGTGACGTCCGACCACGCCCACTTTGCTCACGTATCATAAAATTTAAATAAAAATCTCTAGGTTCGGCCGATTTGTTTAGGGTCGCCGGGTTACAGCAACATAACAATTTTTTTAGGCCTAAGGGTGTACAATTAAACACCCCTGAGTGGACGCAACAACACATTTTAACCAACACCACGTTGACTAAGTTGTGACCACAATTTTTAAGTGCTGAGTTTTGATACGTAGAAATTTGTTTTCTTATGATACATTTGAAACATTTTGACATTATATTGTCATGTGAATAGAGCAGCATGATGAATTATTGTTAAATATAAATCCATTTACAGTATATTTATTTTGATAAGTGCAATACAATTTACGGCCAAAGAGATAGGCCTATAGGCTTAGTGCACTCTCTTAAGGCATGTATATACTTGCAACGATAACGATAACGATAAAAAGCTAAAAAGCAATTGTTCATATAGAAAATAAAAGAAATAACCGAAGTTTTTACCCTAGGACGATTCGATAATAACTTTTCGTGTATACGATAACAAAATATTTTGACAAATCAATTCAAATGACGTCATAATCATGGAAAAACTATGAAATCGTTGTGACTACTACGATTTTACTTTATTTCTTTTATTTTTCATATGACCAATTGCTTTATAGCTTTTTATCCTTATTGTTATCGTTGCAAGTGACATGCCTTTATTCGAGACCTCTCTAATTCTGAGACCACGTCGCTTGATCAAACAAGCTATAATGTTCGCATACACTATGGCTTAGTTCATATTGCACCACCTACGGTATTTGTTTCAAAAGAGCCACTACCTTTTTCGGTATGGATCATCCTTTAAAATATGTAAGCGGTCTTTACCCAAGGCTACATGCACACAAATATTCGTTTTATCCTGTACAGATATGGAACCGTCTACAATTGAATCTTACACGTTTGCCCATCTACTGCATCTTTTCAAGAGTATGCCATCCCAGCCATAAGGGCGATGCAGCCTCTTTATGGCAATTATGTCCTTTAGGCGGTCTCTGTCATCTTTGTAAATAGTGCACGCACTTAAAGTTGTATTTTGAGCACCGTTATTGCACTCTAAATTTATTTATCTATTTTAATTTATCTTGCGCCGGCTGAAAATGGCAGCGTCGCCACTAAATCATCCCAGTTTAGCTGAGTATCGGGATTACGGGATTATCAAGACTCAAGACCAAAGAAAGACTAAAGACCACTTTTTCAAAGAACCAAATATTATATAATTTTTTTTCTTATAATTTATTAGGAACTACACTCTTCAATCAGTGGCACACTTCTCAATCGAAGGTGCGTCCAAAACAATATGTACAGTATAATTCACTTAAGGCAAAATAAAGTGATGCAAACAATCACATGAACAATTATACAAACACCATACAAACGTACATGAAATACACATACAGTACATAAGTACATATATATCTATACACAACTGTATACCCAGTCACATGACTGTACCGTACTCACAATTATAAACATAAAGACATACAGTACATACTGCACTCTGTACTACACCACTTATCACACAAGAAGCACACATAACAGGCCGGATAAAACAGATGCACATAAAAGTAAATCAAAAGTCGTAAAGTAATACAGGACTAAAATCAAAAACGTTCATTTTCTATTTTAATCTCATTTCTCTTTTTCCATGCCCTTGTACAAAATTTGTCAAATTTTTCTTCAATTTCTTTTGGAAGATTTAGTGAAAAAGAGCCAAGAACATACATTAACTTCTGATCGGTTTTTGATTTTATAAATTGGTTCCAAATATGCCTATTTGTATTTACTATTTCATGTTCAAGCTTTGCTAGTTCTTCCAATCTGATGTTATGGAGGGAAGGACATGAAAAAAGAAAATGTCTAATATCTTCAATTGAATAAGAGCTACAAATAGAACAAATGCCATCATTATTATCGGACCAACTTGAGATTCGCCTTTGTAACGGTAAAGTATTGGAGCGTAATCTAAATTTTATGCAAGCACCCTCAAAATCAGTAGTTTAAAGTAAATATTTTTCTAGGCAAGGGCTTTCCTTAATAATTGAGTAATCGGAAAGGGAAGATTTTTGATCAAGATTACTTCTCCAATCAGTACAAGCTTGTTCTTTAAGTTTTAAGGTCCAATTTCCGATGGGATAATCAATGATATCACATATTAATTTAAATAAATTTACTGATTCACATTTTGAGAAAACATTGGAAACACATTTAAGAAATTTAAAACGGAAATTATCAAAGTTACTCTCCGTGTGTAATAAAACCTTAAGTAAAATTTTTGGCCACCGATGTGATTCCATATGATGCGATGAAAATATTTTATGCGCGAAATATCGTGCATAACACTAATTGGCAGCCAGCCAAGTTCACCATACAAAGTTGCACGTGGGGTATTTCTAGTTATTATATATAGCGTGCCATCTGCAATTGTATTTGTTCAAAGTTTGTCAATATCTGACTTATTTGGGAACACCATACAGCTGAACCATAATTTATAGATGGGAGACCAATTGTTCTTCATAAAATATCCCCATAGTATATCCTATTAAAATTATTGCAGTTATCAATCAATGATTTAATATAAGCAATTAGTCTAATGTACATTCTGGAATTGTACATTATCATTTAGTTTCCTGGATATATTAACCCCAAGATGTTTGTATGTCTCCGCTAACAATCATTAATCTTTTAACACAAAGCTAACCCTCCAATGAGAGACCAAATCATGTGGGTCTCGAATTGGAGGGCGAACTGTAACTGAAACCACAGATCCTATACTATATTATAACTATACTATAGGCCTCTATCTGTATAAGGACTGTGCCATGGCTGAAACCACAAAATATTACATAGCGCCCTCTCTAGTTTAAAAAATCGGTTGCTATGGTTGTTAAGACCAATCAACCATCATCAAACATGTGTCCATTGTTTACTTTTCAAGTGTTGCTGTTCACTGCTGTTGTACATAAGGTTTCTGTCGCCGTATTCCAAATTTTGACTTAAGCTTATTCAAAGAAACAGAAATCGTATACTGTGACAATGAGTGTAGGTGTATTCGATCCAGATATGCTTTACGATAATCCACTGTTGCAAAAGGTAAAGTCCTTGATAATTATTTCATTATCATGATTCATTGTTGTCTTGTCTAGGCCTATACTAGCCTATGTTAGTAGTAGTAGTAGTAGATCAGCTAGGGCAAGTCCCAACAAGAGGCCTAGCCTATCCCCTACTTGGCCTAGGCCCTAGCCTAGGAATGTGGCTAGGCCTATTTGTGACATTAGGCAGGCCCACAAGCTGACCGTGCAGATAACAGTCAGTAGGGCTTCTAATCCAAGGTTTAATTTTAATTCCTTTTCTCTGGATTTTTTTCCAACTCAACTGTACCTAGGCCTTGCCCTAGTAGGCCTCTATAGTAGTATTTTAATAACTAATGCAAGTAAGTATGAACTATGATCAGATATTTGCAATATTCTTGCCAAATAAAAACAGTCCCTCCTCATCAATTTAAAAAAAAAAAAAAAAGCAATAATATCCTATTGTGTTGATAAAAAGAAAAAAAAAAAACTGCCCGCCCTCATCAATTTAAAAAAAAAAAGTGATAGTCTAATAATTTTTTCTATGTATGTTTTAGCAGTAAAATTTTATTTCTTCCCCAGTCTGGATGTTTTTGGCAAAAATTTGCTTAAAAAAACAAAATTTTATTTTATTTTTTTTCCACCCTCTGACGATCTTTAAAAAAATAAGTTTGCAAAACATATGGTGTAAAAAAAATCTCGCCTGCAGTTCTTGGAAAAAAATTGTGATTGCCTTCCGGTGTACTTCCCAGAATCTTCAACATGAAGGCAGCAACTAACGCCCAGAAGAAGACGCCATACTTGTGGTAATCATAAAGGCTAAATACTAGACCTGTATATTTTTTATTTTAATATACTGCATCTAAGATTATTGATAATTAAATATTAAAGATATTCATTTCACAGTCGCAACTAGGAAAACCTTTAAAGCGAGGGTTCACCTTGCCATCTGAAGATTTCACATTTGGCCGGCCAAATCAAACCAAAGATGGTGGTGCTTCGTAAAAAGAAGGGCGCCGCCTACGTTGGGCACGACTTCCGCCTCATTTTTACAATGCTAGAACTCTATCTTGTATTTCTAGTATCTTTGCTGAAACCAAGTCACCGAAACAAAATATTACATAGCGCCCTCTCTAGTTTAAAAAATCGGTTGCTATGGTTGTTAAGACCAATCAACCATCATCAAACATGTGTCCATTGTTTACTTTTCAAGTGTTGCTGTTCACTGCTGTTGTGCATAAGGTTTCTGTCGCCGTATTCCAAATTTTGACTTAATTCAAAGAAACAGAAATCTGTGACAATGAGTGTAGGTGTATTCGATCCAGATATGCTTTACGATAATCCACTGTTGCAAAAGGTAAAGTCATTGATAATTATTTCATTTATCATGATTGTTGTCTCTAGCCTATGTTAGTACTAGTAGTACTAGGCCTAGTAGTAGTAGATCAGCTAGGGCTAGGGCAAGTCCCAACAAGAGGCCAGCCTATCCTCTACTAGGCCTAGGCCCTAGCCTAAGAATGTGGCTAGGCCTTAATTGTGACATTAGGCAGGCCCACAAGCTGACCGTGCAGATAACAGTCAGTATAGGGCTTCTAATCCAAGGTTTAATTTTAATTCCTTTTTCTCTGGATTTTATTTTCCAACTGTACCTAGGCCTTGCCCTAGTAGTAGTTTAATAACTAATGCAAGTAAGTATGAACTATGATCAGATATTTGCAATATTCTTGCCAAATAAAAACAGTTCCTCTCATCAATTAAAAAAAAAAGCAATAATATCCTATTGTGTTGATAAAAGAAAAAGAAAAACTGCCCGCCCTCATCAATTTAAAAAAAAAAAAAGTGATCTAATAATTTTTTCTATGTATGTTTCAGCATTAAAATTTTATTTCTTCCCCAGTCTGGATGTTTTTGGCAAAAATTTGCTAAATAAAACAAAATTTAATTTAATTTTTTTTTCCGCCCTCTGACGATCTTTAAAAAAATAAGTTTGCGAAACATATTGTGTAAAAAAAATCTCGCCTGCAGTTCTTGGAAAAAAATTGTGATTGTCTTCCGGTGTACTTTCCAGAATCTTCAACATGAAGGCAGCAACTAACGCCCAGAAGAAGACGCCATATTTGTGGTAATCATAAAGGCTAAATACTAGACCAGTATATTTTTTATTTTAATATACTGCATCTAAGATTATTGATAATTAAATATTAAAGATATTCATTTCACAGTCGCAACTAGGAAAACCTTTAAAGCGAGGGTTCACCTTGCCATCTGAAGATTTCACATTTGGCCGGCCAAATCAAACCAAAGATGGTGGCGCTTCGGAGGCTATAACAGGCTGGACTAAATTGGCAGCTATACCTCTTGGAAAAGGAAGAAATGAGAAGAAACAAGAACGAGACTTTGTTGCCTTGAATAAAGCATGTGTAAGTGCTGGCCTTATCACGGCACAAGAACATTTTCAGTACAGAGCAACCCATGACGTCAGGAGACGGGTCTCGGAGGAGGAGAAGAATAAAACAAAGATTAGAAGAATACCGCCAACAGCAGTATATGGAGTCCCAACAAGGTATTTTAAAAATGTGTTTTATTTTCAGATCTTTTTATATCAAAAATGTAAAATAAAAGCTTTTTTTGGAATTCGCTCTATATAAGCAAATAATTCTACTACACTATCGGCAGGGAAGATGAAATAGATTATTTCCCCATGACAACAAATTAACAACAAACTAATTTTTGAATTGTTTCAAATTTAGATGTCATGAATAATCAGTCATTCAAACAATTATTTCATTTTCATCAATACATAGTAATGTACAATTTCTAAATATACAAATAGGAAGTCACGATATGCTTGGCTTGTACTGAGTGCTGTGCAATATTAAAATATTCATTAATGTACACAGCACTACAAACTTCCAGTAGACAATCCTTACGATTATGTTTAAATGTTGCGAGACTTGAAGACTGCCAAACGTTCAACCCCCCGATTCGATCAGGAGTCTTCCAGATTTTCATGCATTGTCCCTATCTCCCGAATTTTCAGAAACCACCACAAAATACCAAAAACAGCTATTAGCAGTAGTGGCTTTTTGGTACAAATAATGGCATATTTTTTTCTGTGTCAATTTGTCCCTTTTTCACTGATTTTATCAACAATGTCGGCATACAGTCTTTCTAAATGTTGCCGTCTCTCGAATTTTGAGTTCCAAAACATCTGGACTGCTTACGGATATATTAAGATGGGTAAATCTACATTCAATTATTATATTCAGGTGATTCAAAATAGTATGTTTATATTGCTCATTTTTTTAAAATTTGTTTTAGACCATCCACTCCTGTTTTTGATTTGCTTGAACATAAATACCAAGACAGGTGGTTACAAGAGCGAAGAAAAACAGAATTAGCAAAACGAGAACGTGATCAAGAAAAGGTAAGATAGGGATAGACATTATTCAGATAATGCTATTATCATTATGATTATTATTGTTATTAATTTACTAATAAAATGTTAAGCACGTCCATAGTCTGTGTCTAAAATCAATGTTAAATCAGTTCTCTTGGAGTGGCGAACCCCCCAACACCTGTGAGCCCAGAGCTTTAGGTTTTGACCTTTAACTTACCTATACTAAGATAATTTAACAATAACATAGTACGCCTACAGTAGCCCTATTTGTATATAGGATTATACTCTAATTAGGTTTACACTCAATGTACAATGTGCACAGTTATAAAATTGACTTGTATTTGATAATGTTTCCAAGGAAAGAGAAAAAATATTATGCCTCAACTAAAACCGGATGCCTGCACCCCTCAAACTTGGGACTAAGTGTGCTAAGTAACAACTTCCTTGTTATAAGAATAATAATTTTTTTTTATAGGAAACCGCACAGAAAGGAATTTATGAAACTAGGGCTTCACTGCTGCGCAAATACTGTCCACCGGTTGATGGTGAGCCCCTTTGGCACATGCCAAGATTCCGTAAGACATCACCCCACCTCGAAACCTTCCGATCACCTGAAGCAAAATCGAAGTCGTTCAAGCATCATGCTTCTGATTGTACAGCAAGGACCGGCGTTTTTGGACACGGAATCTATGAAAGTGCAAAGTCCTAAAACTATCTTACTTTGTGGTTGATCTCTATTGTATATATAATAAACCGAGGATTCACTTTAAGACTGATAAAAAAAAATGTAAATTAATACAATTTTAAAACTGCATAGGGAAATACAATACTGTAGTAGGAAATTAAAGAATATTGATAAAATATGCTATTTTCCAATTATTTATTGGTCTCTATTGATCTTAAAAGATGTTTTAGGTATTTTGTACTACTGTATCATAAATTACTAACTGTATATTTTTTAATATGTTATCATTTTCTCAAAATACTATTTTTATGTAAAGGTATTACTTGTAGCAGATTTTTTTATTCATTCAAACAGTTCATCCTTTCCAAAGCGTCCCATCGTGGTTGTGCTACCAATCGGTGCAAACATCTGGTTAAACGTTCCACAAACTGTGGGTCTTAACCTACTAGTGGGTCACCAAAATATTTTGGTGGGTTTTGAATCCTTGACAGAAATCACCAAAATCATCTATCTCAATTATGTTGCTAAATATTGTAATAGGCATAAAGATAATTTGAAACATATTATTTTGTAAAATAAATTAAGCTATCAATCTGCACACAAGTTATTTGCCATGATACAACAAAGTACAATGGGGCTACAATCATCATTTCATTATTCATTATAATTTTGTCGTAATACTTATTTTTGTACAACCACCGATTAAGTATGTCCTAGGATTTGTTTTTGAAGGGATTTCAGCATTGCTGATCTTGGCCAAATAATCATGCATGTCTTCATCCACATTTATATGACTTTCGTAAAGCTAAAGTGTTTTATTGTAAGCATGAGGGATCCTATTTTCAGCTTTGTAGACTAGAAAACAAGAACTGAATGGTTTAGATGACTTTCAAAATTGAGAAGCCATATCTGTGCTAATGGTAAGAGCTAGAGCTGTTTCTGTACAGCCAAACCTAAAACATAACTTAATTATAGTTGCAAGCAACACTTTCACCACCTGTTTTTTAAAGAACATTTTACGGTGCTCAAGAAACTTTTCTTCCTATAATAACAAAAAAGATAGTTTTCCAAATGCTTCGGTATATTTTTCCATTTCCAGCTCTTCATCATTGTAAATAACAATAAACCATGCAAAATGAAAGGTTACTATTTCATATTTTGTCTATTTTTTGTTTTTCGAACAATCATGGATCCAAGAAACAGCATTTGAATTTTTTTTTTAGCAGAGACGTATCAGGAAAAGCAGTGTCCCGAGATAAAACCATTTTGAAAGGTTTGTACCTAGACCTTTGCCGAGAAAAGACTGCTAGCACCCCTCAATTTACTATCACACTCTCATCAGCCCATTAACAGTCGTTTCATCAGGCATATATTGTAATAAAACTGGACAGAGTTTATGTTCCCTGCTAAAAATTTTATTAACTCCAGCATGATGCTAGGCCGCAACAATTGCATCACAAAAATCTAACTGCTTCCGAGTATGTAGGATAACAAATCGCAAACAACACAATCATTGGTACCAAGACATGCCAGACTCAACATTGTATTGAACTTAGTCCTAGATATTTTGTAACAATGTTTTATTGTAAGATTTTGGAATACATAAAGATAAATTACTGATTAACAGAGGCAATCACTATCCCTGAGCCTAGCAAACCTAATTTGTACAATTTGTATTATAATCAATTTAAAAAAAGTAAACATTCTTTAAAAATTTACTTTCCATCCTTGAATGTCTAAAAGTTTATTTAACATTTGGGGTATAGAAATTATACATCCATGTTTAACCAACATTCATTTGCACCATTTGTGTTAATACATACAGTACCTTGAAGACATTTACCACAATGCATTACATTTAATAGCATATAATAATTCAGTACTAAAAATAACACAGACCTAACTAATAACAATAGTAAAGATAATATAATAGTTGATGTTGCAGACACACATATGTATAAAGTATGACGCTATGTACATGCTGCATGAATGAGAGCATCACATGGCAGTGGGCTTATTTTAAACTGTCATGTGGATGGATTATTTAGATGCAAACCAATTGAGAAATAGGCTTGTAGGTTTTCAGCACCATTATGGTTTATGTTATTTCTATGCAAAAGTGTAATACGTACATACTGTAGTTGGTAATTAAAGGAAAGTATACTATAGTTGTTATATTATTTGCTCTCCAATTTGCGACCCCTTTAATTCTAAGACCCTTCTTAATTTAAGACCACTTCTTTTACTGTACAGTATCAATAATCTTGAATCTTATTAGAAACCAAACCCCAAGAAAATCCCATGTTTTCAGTTTCAATTGGAGGCCAAACTATATATGATTATTTTCTTTTACCATAATCAAATCTATTTACACAATGAAAAAAATAATAAATTAGTGAATTCATACAATTGTAACAGTTTACCGTCCATCCAAGACCCCCTCTGGGACCTGAAAATATAGTTTGCCCTAAATTGTTCATTGATAGTCTAAAGTCCGACACTCGATGTGTTGTACGGCGGTCATATAAACGTAATATATGCTGGTAACAATAGGGTCGTATAGACTCGGGATGTATACAACACTATTGTTAAGTGACCGCCACATATTGGTGTGCGTTTTCCTTAACAATAGTCGTCAATCTAAAGATGATATCCGTGGAATGAACATCAAAACTGTCAGTAAAGATCAGTTCAAATTAACTGATTTGTTAAAATAGAAAATTTTTCTCATTGCATCTACAAACCAAATGAATATTTTCAACTACAGTTTAAATATTAAGGGCAGCATAATGTATAGAGTAATAAGTCAAGGTTAATACCAACAAATACACACATTCATTTAAACAGCAAATCCAATGATATATTTACACTGTATTCTTATTTTACTTTTCTGATAGATTGAAATGTGTTTTTTTGTTTAATGTAAAAAAAGAACAAATAATTAAGCATGCTGTATCTAAATATTAAGTTGAATAAAACAATCTAACATCAGTTCGATTTTTGTTGATAATCTTTAAACATGCTTCTATATTTCACTTTAGTAAACAAATTAAATTAACAAACATCACTGTATCAATGTCTTTAAATACAGATACAGTATGGAAGAATATTATGAAAACAGCAGTTACAGTTTTAAGTTGAAAAAAAAAAGTTTTTGTAGAAACACTTTTTATCCACAAACACAAAGAATGTAAAAAAAAGCTATATAAACTATATAGCATTCTACATAATTCATACATAGACAGGGCAGCATTTGTACATCAAAACAGAACCAAACTTTAGTAGCAATACTAATGTATCTATTTTTTAACATTCAAATTTGTTCAGTCAACATGGAAGTAAAATATACTAGTTCCTAATTTTTCCATTTGCTTTTTATATTTTTAATAAACTCATAAAATATTTCCAGACTCGCTATGGTAATCTTTGGCGTTGAAAATTAGTAGTCTTTTGAATGTATGTATATGAGACATGTTCCCATGGAACTGGACAAAGGTTTTTAAAAAATGTATTTAATTAGCTTTTATAAATTATTGGGTTTAATAGTTTTTTTGTCAATTGAGCAACTAAAATTGAGGTATCAGTAGCACTACTGAGAAAATGTATTTAATTGGCTTCTTTAAATTATTGGGTTTAATTATTTTTGTTAATTGAGCAATTGAAATTGAGGTATTAGTATAAGCTGAGACAACTATATAATTATTATAGTTGTCTCAGGTATTAGCACTACTGAAAAAACAGCCTTGGACATTAGTATGCACCCTCCAATAGCATAGGATGACTGCACACTTAGTGAACAGTTAGCAACCAGTCTAAACATATTGCACATATAACTTTTGGTTTTAAATGTAGTTAAACATGTTCTGGTGAATGATACAGCAATCATACCATCTTAATTATTATTTTTTGAAAATATTTACTTGTGACTGTCCAGGTTTTGTTTGTATAAACTCACAGTATACGTATATGGATTCACTTTATCAAGCTATAATGAATATGAGTATCAACCAATTACTTACTGAATACAAGTACGAATGAAGATATAACAACAAAACGCTTGGAGTTACAAACAGCAGTCAAAAAATAAATATGTTCAAAGATCGTGCCAGATATTCATATGTTACTTGCAATATGTTCATGGCAATACAAGAATTGTACTTGTTTGGACTAATACAATAATTAACAATTATAACAATAACACTAACAGCCAAGAATAATAAAACAATAACAATATCAATAACAATATTAAGAATAATGACTGCTCTAGTTATTATTGTTATTATTACTGTCCTTATTCTAAATATTAATAACAATATTAAGAATAACAACAGTAATAATAACAACAATATTAACTAGAGCAGTCACTCCATGAGTGCATATCTCAGCCGTGCCTGAATACAGTATCAACAATACGCAGGCCGTGTATAATGAGTGAAACTGCAGCATACCCTCAATGAAATGATAGATATATAAATGAGAGAAGATATATTGGTATACTTGGGTTCAACTGCTAGCCACCATACAAGTACAGGGATTCATTTACATGGTATACGTGCATGTACAGGTATACCACTGAATAAATAAGTAACAACTGGTTATTTTGAAACTGTAGGATCTTGCATGTACCTCTTACAATGTAAAGCTTAGTGTTAGGTGTACGAGTGACAGCTGTTTTTGCTTTGTTTTCATTTTTACAGAGTAGCACGTTGTTCCAGATCACTGTTTCTACCATTTTTACTACCTGGGCGTAAGAGATTTTGGTGACATTTTTTTCGCCTATTTGACAATTTCTTTAATCTTTGTGACATCCCCCCCCCCCTCCAAATTTGTCCCTTGATAAGAATAAAGAGTTTTTTTCCCATCTCTGACAGGCTCAGGCCCAGAGAAATTCATCTCAATGCCCGTAATACTGTATTAGCATTCTTTGAGCAGAACTACTGTACTTAGTGTAGTGACAACAAACCAATGGTGTCACACAGGCAGCAGTATTCCACATTTATTTAAAAACTACAGACCATTAGCTGTGGTCTTTACAACACGTTTACGCATATTATATGGATGGCTGCATTCTGTCGTCCCATTGGATCCCTCCTGCAACCAAGATTCTACACCGTTGATAGGAGATTTTAACCAGCTACGAATCTTTCTTGGGCTTTTTTTTTTTGGATCCTGGAAAACAAATAAAGAAGTTAACAAAATCATGTGAAATCCCAAATTAGTAAGATCATGTAATGTTAATTAACCATTTTACTAAAAAAAAAGTAATATAATATTTCAAACATGATTAAGTTTGCTGATCACCTGTAATGAACACACACTCTCTGTACCATAATACTTTAACTAATATATCTAAAAACTAAATTAAAACAGTAACAATATAGACAACTTAAAAAAAAATTGAATATTATTTCTCTAACTTTACATTGAAGGTCGTTTTCCCGGTCGAAACAAGAAAAAATGAAACTGAATACAGCATACAGTTTCAAGCTAGGCGAGTTTCTAGCTAGGAGCAAAGGCTCCCACTGCCTCATCCTTGTCAAGATTTTAATGAGGATTGATACATACTTAATGAAACAGCATTACCTGTACACCTTCTTACTATGTCATTGACTATTCTTTCCTTAATTATTCCATTTTTTCCCCTTGAAAATTATCTTGTGAACAATGTGCATGGACTATGAAGCTGAGAACATGGCACCAACTTGGGCACAAACAAGTTGAACCCTTTTTGAATAATTTCATCTGTACCAGTGACAACCAGCCACAACTATGCTAGTTGTAAATGGTTCTTGGTTACACAAGAAAGTTGCCATCGGTCAAGCTCATTGCCATATATTTTAAGATATGAAAAACCGCAGAGAATTTTTTGGATGCTTGGAGTTCCTAACCAACTATTTTTTTTCTATATTATTCCTAACAATAATAAATACAAATAATCACAAGAAATACTAGTAGCAGCTTCAATCGATATTGGAAATAAAAGTTATCTTCAGGGATATTTTGAGATGACAGAGAAAGTTACAAAAAACCGTAATCTGACCATGAAAGGCAAATTCAATTTATTAAGTAAATGGTACTAAATAAGCAACAATAAGAAAATTAACAAATATAACAATAATAATTAAATATTGTTTTAAGGTTTGAATGGTGAAATAATATATATTTAATGCTTGTGGTGTACTGCAAGCATTAAATATAATTATAATAATTAAAAAAACAATATTATTTAAAACATTAAAGCATGAAATAAAAGTAACCTACATCAGGCTGGCATCGTCTTGCATACAGCACCATAAAATATAGACACACCATTGTAATTACCATCTAGTGAAAGGGGGAAAAAAAATTAATTGTTTCAAAATGCTATTGCTAAAACAAAATATTAAGATTCTCATTGTAAAGCTATTAAATATCTCACTTACCAAAACAACCAGCCATAACAATATTTTGTGAATGACAGTGTTAGCAAAAATGTGTACTCCAAATTTGAAGCATAGTAGGGCTTCAATCAACGTCACTGCACTGAAAATATTAACACAAAATAAAGAAATATTAAAATAACTGCTAATCACTATTTTACATTTTTATAAGATATCTCATAATGAAGTATAGATATTGTGCAAATCAACATTAAAGTACATTAGCATTATATAGAGTAATTATCTGTTAATCTTTGCTGAAGATTTTAATGATAAAATTGAAGTGTATTTACATACATTAACTAATTAAAATTACAGAATTATATTAGTGCCAATACATTGGTGTTCATAAATCATGAGAGAGTTGACGAATGCCTATACAAATAAACTTACAAGTAATAAACTTATAAGTATTTCAATTACTTACGTAAAAACCCAGAGTTGAGTTCCAACTCGTTTACAGGCTGGATCAGTTACAAAAGTATAATATTGTCTGAAAAAAAAGTTGATCGTATTTGTAAATAGATTTAAAAGAAAGCATGCATTAAAATTATGACTTGCTTTCAAAATTACATCATATTACAGAGATTTTAATGTGGTAGTTCTCTCTTTGGGACATTACCAAAGAGGGTGAGATAGAACGCAATATCAATAGTGTATGGAAAGAAATTAGTAAAATATAACAAAAGTATGAATGGGCTAAAATAAAACAACAAACCAAAATCAATATAATTTTAATCAATTGAACTCTTCATAATGAGGCACTTCAAATTGTCATTCATATGTGGATGTGTATAAGAGACAGTTATAGAACTGGGAGGTAAATACAGGTGGAAAATGCACACCTTAGTGTTGGTGTCACCATTAGAACAATGAGTATGATACGGATGACTGCAATGATGTGACTGTCCGGATAAACAAAGACGTGACGGAAGAAGAAAGTGTTCAACTCTGCAACCTGGTAAAGAAAAACAACATTAATGTAGACTCCTACAAAAACTCTTACTAAGAAATTATCATGTAATAATAATTAACTGTCATCAATAAGAGTCCATTTAATGGATCATATAAAGTTATTGCATTTAAATAAATACACATAAAGCTGGCATTAGCTATGAACATTACAATTAAAATTAATAAAATAACACTTGCAAGTATATAAAATAATACACTGGTAAAGCAGAGGGAAGATCGCTTGTGAATTTTTTTCTGGTACAATAAAATGTCAGGTAGGGCAAAACACCACAATGATATTTTCCCGACGCAAACTAACATCGATCTGCTGCTACTTGACGGTCGGATTCAACACTAGCCACTAAGCGCAGCTCGGTGGTCTAGTGTTTATGACACCAGACTAGTTATCTGGAGGTTGTGGGTTCGATTCCCACTCGAATCAATTTTTTTTGGTATAATAAAATGTCAGGTAGAGCAAACATCACTACTATATAGTGTTCATCATACCATAGTAACTATGACCAGGATGTAAACTGCAATAATTCTCATATAGGAGGAATTGGGATCCAGCCATCTAACATGAGTCCAACTTGCAGGCGTGAACTGCAACACAGCTCGTCTGATTTTACCAGAGGTAGACCGAATATCCCTAAGAAGTGTAAAAAAATAAATTTTCATAAACAATTTAAGATATCAATAATAATCACAACATAATAATAATAATAACAACAGCAACAGAAATGACAAAAATAATAATTAGCAACAAATGGCTATTCATGTACAGTATCAATAGCTAGGTGCCATACGAAATTAAAACACACCAGATTATAATCAAGCTAAGCAATGTTGGGTTGGTTGGTATGGAGTCCTGGGAACACCAGTTGCCGACTTGAGTTGAGTTTGAAACAGTGACGCTCAGGAAAGGCAGACAGATGAAAGTTCCAGATCACCTTGGTTACTAAATTGTACGGCTATGGCACCCGCCAGAAGGCCAGAAATAATAATTCTGGACATTTCTATAGCACCGGTGTCTACCATTTAGTAATCATGGTGGTTCTGCCACTTCGATTTGAAAATGAACAATGAAAAAAGAAACAAAATCAGGTTTGAAACTTGAGTAGACGGGGTCGTCAAGCCTGAATTTAGTCAGTGAACGGTTGGAAATCAGCCATTCATAAACTTGCAAGAGGTAGTTATTATTATGATCGGAGGTACTGTATGATTTGAAGAGATGAGACTTTAAACTAGATTTAAATGATGCTGGGCTCATCGATTCCCTGATAGGTATATGTAGCTTCTCCCAGATCATGGGTGCTGCGACAGAGAATGATCTAAAATGGCATTCTAAGTTTTAAATTTGAATGTAATTTATGGATTTAACATTCCATTATTTAAAACTCACTTGATGCTTTCCCAATGGAATTCTGTGATCTCAAGCTTCTTACAGATGGACATGCCAGCCCAGATGCCAAGGGCATTGCAGAAGAAGATATCCATAAGTATGGAGTCCCACCAGCATTCAGCAAAATTGGGCAGCAAATGTGCAAAGAAAACCTGGTAACAAAAGTTGATACAGTTAAATTTAAAGGAGCACTCTTTAGATTATAATAAACATACAAGTAATTTTTTAAGATTTAGTATGATTTTAAAAAAAGACATAATTCATTCAACCATAATCACTGAATGACTTGATGATCATTGGAAAAACCTGACCTGATGATCGTTAAATTAATATTGAATCTAAAATATCAATTTGACCCCCACAAATATATCGATATGAGTGTAACACAAATTTATGGATATTAAATTTCCCAATGCCATGTTCTCCTAATGCGGATTTGTCCGCATAATTAAGTGGTCCTTGATTGGAATTAAAATTCAGTCACAATAGCTGAGTATTTTAGCTATATTAAACATCAAAATTTACCAAACATGTACTATAACAAAATTCAATTAATGTAGACATTGAAAATTAATGGTGAAGAAACATGTGATGTAAATTTGATATTGAGAGAACGTAGGATGTGGATTCTCAACATAAATTCAACAAAATATTTAACTTATTTTAATGAGAAAATATACATCATTGTAATTACAGAAGATATCACACTTGGTAATTTACAGTTTTTTCAATCAATTGACTTGGTAGCTTCAAAGTGCATCTATATTATATTAAATACCCATTTTTCAAGACCAGTACTCAATAAGGCCATAGAATTTGTCTATTAAAAGATATCATCAATAGGGTACATTATAATCTGATTTCCTATGGCCATCACTCAAGAATCTGTATAAGAGTTTTTAGATTCCATTTTATCAAAACTATTTTATAATAATTTACTTTCAGGAAATTAAAATTGATCGATCAATAAATCATAACAATCTACATAGCACAAACATATTACAGTAAGTAGGTATTTTTACTTCAGCAGTGCTAAAATGAGGTTGATTCAAAGGCCAAGGATACTATTAGATTTATTGGATGCTCAGCTGGATAAAGGAACTGGCAGCCAAGGAAAATAATAATATATGGATCTACTTCATAGGGCATTACACAAACACTTAAATGCAGAAGAGCAAAATGAGAATAAGGCCCTGTCCACACTATCAAATGAGAATAAGGCCCTGTCCACACTATCAAATTTTATTTGACAAAAACATGTGACATGCCTAAATATGGTCATGATGACATCACATTATGACCATAGAGTACTACGTTGTTACGTCATGATGCCATGTGAGAAAGGTAATATAACAATAAACACAGAGAAAACAGAAACCTTCACTGTAGAAGCGGAGGGAAACAAGGACTGGAGAAAAATCAAATATCTAGGAAGCATACTAGACACTGAAAATGAAATAAAAAGACGAAAAGGACTAGCAATATTAACCACTTCCAAAAAATATGAACACATCTTAAGCCATAGACAAACATAAAGATATCAATCTGTCTCTTATACACATCTGATGTGTTTATACTCTTTGCTATAGAGTACTACGTTGTTACGTCACGATGCCATGTGATACTATTCTGTTGCTATCAGTGACCCAAAATGCAGTCAGCCGGATCCATTGTCTCCACTTAAAAACCATTGATTCAAATTTCTAACGTAATTATTAAGATGTTGTATCTTAATTTTTCATTGTAAATTTTAATTGATGATTAAAATGTGTGTTCGATAACTAATGTAGTGCAAGCTTTTGTGTTTTTAGTACATTTTGATTTGAATATTAGGTTTTAAAATGCCTATTCCAGAAAGCCTATTGTAAACCATTGAGATTATGAAGTCGTTCAGGCATAATGACCGCTTTAACAACATCTGGTTAATAACGAAGTTGTTGTGATATATGGGCATTCAACAGTTTTCATAAAATAAAATTTGATAGTCTGTACAGGCCTTTATGATAGCACAGCACTTTTGATATTTAAAATGTTTGGGAGAAACAGCTTTAAATGACATCAAAAAATTAAAAAGTTATTTGTATTTTTATATACTTGAGAAATTGCCTTCCACAGTTATTAGTGTGACAGTTTAGCCTTGCCTTTTTGCTAAGGCATGCCTCATATGGACAATTTCAGTACTTGATAAATTTCATATTTTCATTCATTACCTCTGTTATTTCCCATGTTACACTGATGACCCAACATAACCCATAATGCCTCAGCATCATGGCTTTTACGACCCAACCAACGAAATGACTAATTACAAACCAGTCCATCTGATGCCACAGCCGGTCTATGCTAAAATCCGAGCAGTTGGCTCCATACTCCTTCAAATCAATAAAAAACATAGAAATTTTAATTTTACATCAATACATCATTGAATGACTTAACATAATTAACATTATTAACAGCATTGAATACTAAAAAATGCTTAAGGACTGTACCGTAGTGTAACATATTCATTCGATCGCAGGAATATAAAAATGCAAAAACTATGGATAAAAATATAATATTTCAACTACAAATAATAAATATTCAACTGGCATGCTCCTAAAAATAAATAACAATAAACAGTATAATAAATATTGATAATATTAATATTATTTTTTAAGCAATAAAAACAAAGATATTATTTCTGCAGTGATATTTCAGCAAAAAAACCCCATAAATGGTATGTAATGTACCTACAAATAAACACTAATTGCAATAAATTTTGACAATAATATAAACTTACTATATTTTTAACAATAAAAACAAACATGTAAATAACGTAGTGGTGTTCCAGCAAAAAAAACCATTTAAATAGTATGCACCTAGAAATATTTTTAAGTATAATATTTTTAAGTATAAAATTAAGAAATGTCTTGTATAAGTGTTCATGATGTTTTCCGTACGGTGTTTATTGTGTTTTATGTATTCCATTCTGTAAGTGGCGGGCTCCCCACTGTCGAATGTGAATTAAAATAAAATAAAATAAATAAATAAATATCAATCAATAATAATAATAATAATAATAATTTAATAATAATAATAATTGCAATAAATATTGTGATTACCCTAATAACTGCACACAGTATCAACACAACCTCAGCAGAAATTTTTACTAAACCTTCAGTATGCAGACGATGTTGGAAACGTTACCACGGATAAAGAAGAAAACGATAAATTAATCAAAGAATTACCAAATAGAATAAAAGAAAGGTAATATAACAATAAACACAGAGAAAACAGAAACCTTCACTGTAGAAGCGGAGGGAAACAAGGACTGGAGAAAAATCAAATATCTAGGAAGCATACTAGACACTGAAAATGAAATAAAAAGACGAAAAGGACTAGCAATATTAACCACTTCCAAAAAATATGAACACATCTTAAGCCATAGACAAACGTAAAGATATCAATACTCAATACATTTGTATACCCCTACTTAATTTTAACAGTGAAATATGGACTGTAACAAAAAAAACTTGAAAATAGCATAAACATATTCCAAAGGAAATAAAGAATCCTAATAAACATCAAGATAAAAGACAGAAGAATAACATATGAACACATATACATGAAGATTTAAGAGAATGAAATAACCAAAATAATAGAAGACTTAACTGGCTGGGCCATCAAATTTCAGTCTTAATTTACATTTTTGTTTATGTTTAGGAATGTCTGAATTTAGTTAACCTAACGCTTCCGTATTATATTTATAAACCTTTATAACATATGTAAAGATGAGATTTTTCCAAGAACTGAAATTTTTCCGGGAATGGGGCTTTAAGATAAATATACTAATCTAAAACCCATAAATGACAAATATACTGATCTAAAAACCCATAAATAATACTACAAACACACTCACACATGATGATTATGAAAGGGCAAACTGGCGACCCAGCGTTGTAAGGATCATTGCTTGAATAAGCTAAATCAGCCCAGAGACGAAGAGAAGAATATTAACCTAATTGTTTTTTAAACAATAACAAGAAGATGTAAATAGTGATACATATGCTGTGGCTTCAATAAGGTGCTTTAATCAAAAAGATTTGTGTAAATTTGGGTAAAATTTGAAGTTCCTACAAGAACTACAACAAAACCTGGACCAAGAACCAATACCAAACCACTCTAAACCAAAAACCATTATTATGTACAGCAATACCAAATCAATTCGATTGTTTTATAAATGTATTCTTATTTATATTCTTATTAGTTATTCTTAATGTTTTCATATCCTTATTAGAAATGGGCCGGGTTTAAGTAGTTCGTCTATTGGCATAAATTACAATATCCTTGGGAATCCCCTTTACTGTCCTTCCTGCTTAATATTTTTTTGCTGGTAATAAATATGACTAACACACAACTCATGTTTCTTACTTTCTCCAGTGGCTGGTATGCTTGTAGGTCAGGGAATGCAAAACGAATCATTCTCATCACTGCCGAGTAGTTTTGAAATAGCATGAACACAAGTAATAGTAAATACATCACACTCACTCCTAAATAGTGGAGATAATACAGAAACAAACATTTCAGTATTCATATCATTTATGAGTAATAATTAACATTGAAACATAATATATTAACTGATACCATTTGAATTCAACCTTTTATATTCAGTATGTTAATACTGTACAGTATCTTTCTCTTTCTCTTCAGTATTTGTATCTTTTATGTGTACTGTACTGTAATAATGAACATTTAAAACACAATTTATATCCCAAATGAATTCTACTTTTTATTTCCAAATGTAAACAAAGTAAGGACTTACATGAATGCATTATAAAAATACATTTTTTGAGTATATATATCGACTAGAAAACACACCAATCACAATCCATGTTGTGGCCTTGTGCATGTGAATTTTACAACTATACAATGAAATTCCAAGAATTAAAAAAGCAACAAATAAGGAAACAATAGGGGAAAACTGGAGGGCACTCGGAGAGTGCATACCTCCACCCACATCATAATTCTCCTCAGTATAAATTTCCCAAGCATATTGTCCCCATAAAAAAAAAATAGGCTCCTTGGGATTTAAACCTGGGGCTGGTAATATGGAAAACACTCTCCTAACCAATACACCAAACCGTTTTCAAATATATCACTTTGAAATTAATAGTCATATATTTGTTTACATTTTACCGGCAAGCCCACACACATGTCCATACGGCAGACAGTTATACTTAAAAGTAGCTTTTCGATCATTGTGTCCTTGACCTTTGACCACGACCCTTCAATATTTAGTCACATTCAGATCTTTGGTAAAGGAACATTGTGGCCAAGTTTTACAAATTTCTGACAAAAAACTGTTTCAAAAAATCGTTTTTTTGTTGATTGTGACCTTGACCGTTGACCCTTACCCTTCAACGTTGAAATGCTTTGAGATCTTTGGTTATGGAACATTGTGACCAACTTTGACAAGTTTGTGATTAAAATTATGGGTTGTAGACAAATAAAATAAAAAAAATAGTTATTTGTTGCTTGTAACCTTCAAAATTTAATCAGCTCTAGATCCTAGGTAAAAGAACATTGTGAGAAATTTTGACCAATTTCTGATAAAAACTATGGGCTGTAAGCTGTTCACAACAAATATGCCGACAGACAAATAAACAAAAGAACGGGCAAAAACATAACCTCCTCCCAACTTCGTTGGCAGAAGTAATAAAGCAGGATTCAGAAAATCACTACATATACATTTCTATTTTTATTCAGTTCTACAAACATACCATAACAAATACAACATAAAATTAAAATTCATTTTAAACATTATTAGGGAAAAAAATGTTAAACAAATTATGTTAAATTTGATTGTTATTAAAAACTATATTCTCATACTCTAAGTTAATTACTTAGCATAAAAAACAGCTTGTACAGTATTCACAAAATCAGACTATAAAAAGTATCAGTATAATATAATAAATTTTCCTTACTGCAGTACAAATCCATATTAAATAACTACATAAATATTAAAGACACATATGGTGCTATAATACACCCTTCAAAGTTATAGTAAATAATAATAATAATAACAATAATAATAATAATAATAATAGTAATAATAATAGTAATAATAATAATAGTAATAGTAATAATAATAATAATAATATAGTTATAATAATAGTTATAGTTATACTGTAAATAAATTCACATACTATATCTACTGTACTATAATTTATTCAGAGAGTACTGGATGCATGTTCTTAAAGTAATTGCTGTCAGTAAAGAACCATAATGTATGAATATTTGATTTCCAAATAATTATGCCAACAGAATGCTAGACTCCTTGGGGACTCGTATGTAATTAAACAAATATAAAGTTTCATAAATTACAAATATCTAATTCATAGGAAAAAATGTGACATTATAATGCAAAGATCTTTCAAATTATTTGATTGCCAAAATAAATTAAAACCAAGATTAATGCTTGATGTACTTTAGCACCACAGACATAAGAAACGCCTCAGTTGCCATATGCAACAATTGTATTATAATGGCATAGGCTGTCGTGTCAACCTCGGGTCGCAGCCTATTTGCAGCAAAGATTAATACATAGTGTGAACTATTTCACAGGCCATCAAAAGTGCAAGATGGGCATAATGTTAATTAACTTATAAAGCACTTCAGGTTTAAAACATTACCTGATGCCTACACTTAGGATACTCCTACCCCATTGTTTTGTCATTAATCCAAAGGGGTTATGCAGGTAACGAGGAATTATATGAAGTTTCGAAGAATACAATTTGTAAATGAAGGAATATTTAGTGTCTGATTAAATTTCATGATGGTGAAGATTCTTAACCAAAAAAACATGTTGAAAAAAAATTATGATAAAACACCAACAAGTCAAAAATAACAAATAATTATTAGAAACAATTTAGCATGTATACAGATATAATTATAAAACGTAAACATGTTTCCAATACAATTAATTTTTGCACTTGTTTGATATGTTTTTTTACATTTTGGAATGTTTTGAATAGTCTGAGCACAAGCGTCTCTCTTAATCATTAATCTGCCAAAATAATCATGTTCAGATCAAATTTTGCATTTACAGCCAGGAAATTTAAATACTGGTACAGTATACTGAACATAATGCATTCGTGACAATTTATGGCAATAAGAATTATAGTAGCGTACAGTGTCCTTGCATGGTGTTCATATGAAAGAGTCCGGAAGTAATTAATAGATTCATTTAAAAATATCAAGATTATTCATTTATAGTTATCATTTAAATTTAAATACTGGTGTACTGAACGTAAAGCATTAGTGACTATTTATGGCAATAAAAATTACAGTACTGCACAGTGTCTTTGCATGGTTTTCATATGAAAGAGTCTGAAGTAATAATTAGATTCATTTAAAAATATCAAGATTATTCATTTTAAATAGTTATCATTTAAATTTAAATATTGGTATACTGAAAGTATTATGCATTCTTGACTATTTATGGCAATAAATCACAATCTGCATTTTACACCAAATTACTGCACAGCGTCTTTGTATGGTTTTCATATGAAAGAGTCTGGAAGTAATTAATAGATTCATTAAAAAATATCAAGATTATTCATTTTAAATAGTTATCATTTAAATTTAAATATTGGTATACTGAAAGTAATGCATTCTTGACTATTTATGGCAATAAAGCACAATCTGCATTTTACACCAAATTACTGCACAGTGTCTTTGCATGGTTTTCATATGAAAGAGTCTGGAAGTAATTAATAGATTCATTAAAAAATATCAAGATTATTCATTTATAGTTATCATTATTAGTAAATTTTATAATAAAATTAGATTACAAATTTCCCTCAAACATAATCAATTGAATTTAAGCACAAAAGAAATCTGCCAAATATTTTTTTTAAACAAAGGAAACTTTCCATTTCCTTTGTAAATATCATGTATCTTTTGCCTTAATTACAAGAGAGCTCTCATGTTTTAATTTAAATAAAAAAGAATCAATTATAAAGTCTGATTTAATAAGGATAGGTTTTGAATTACAGTTTAAATTATTATAATTATGATCTAACTAGACGAAGCAGTAGATTCATAGATTCACTTAAGAAAACCTATGCAATATGCACCCTTAAAGAAAATTGTATTTTGTTTGTAACTGATATTTATAGACAATTGTTTAATAATATAAATAATGATTCAAGGTACATAAGTAGTCGTTATCAAGGACACTTACAGTCGGCAAAGCATCTAATTTCAATTTACTTCATGTGGCTGAGTTCTTAAGTGCTCATCTACTGTGCTTAAGTATCCATTGTTCAAATCTCTGCAAATCTATAGTATTATTCAGACAAATCTTCCATAATATCAACCTGTTTATTAATAATTAATTTACATGCTGTAATAACCTTTTAACTCTGGAATTGTAATACTATCTTTAACCACAGCTATCCAGTAGGACCGTACCTACCTCATAGTTTATATAACTATTTAGTGATAAATGAAATACATATAAACTTACCAAATACAATTCTCCATACTGCTGGATGAGGTCTGGTAAATGGTCCTGATAAAAAAAATGTAATTTAGTGTTTAAGTTTGAATGTGAAAAGTGCTGTAAACCTTTATTTGTTTTTATTTTATTTAATACAATGTAATAATTATATCTACTGTACTGCATATTTTAACTTACTGTATTCTCAGTGTTTTAATATTTATCCTCCTTTGTAAAGATCATGTATCTTTTGTCTTAATTACAAGAGGGCTCTCATGTTTTAATTTAAATATAAAGTCTGATTTAATAAGGATAGGTTTTGAATTACAGTTTAAATTATTATAATTATGATCTAACTAGACGAAGCAGTAGATTCATAGATTCACTTAAGAAAACCTATGCAATATGCACCCTTAAAGAAAATTGTATTTTGTTTGTAACTGATATTTATAGACAATTGTTTAATAATATAAATAATGATTCAAGGTACATAAGTAGTCGTTATCAAGGACACTTACAGTCGGCAAAGCATCTAATTTCAATTTACTTCATGTGGCTGAGTTCTTAAGTGCTCATCTACTGTGCTTAAGTATCCATTGTTCAAATCTCTGCAAATCTATAGTATTATTCAGACAAATCTTCCATAATATCAACCTGTTTATTAATAATTAATTTACATGCTGTAATAACCTTTTAACTCTGGAATTGTAATACTATCTTTAACCACAGCTATCCAGTAGGACCGTACCTACCTCATAGTTTATATAACTATTTAGTGATAAATGAAATACATATAAACTTACCAAATACAATTCTCCATACTGCTGGATGAGGTCTGGTAAATGGTCCTGATAAAAAAAATGTAATTTAGTGTTTAAGTTTGAATGTGAAAAGTGCTGTAAACCTTTAATTGTTTTTATTTTATTTAATACAATGTAATAATTATATCTACTGTACTGCATATTTTAACTTACTGTATTCTCAGTGTTTTAATATTTATCAAAAAAAAAAAAAAAAACCAAAAAAAACATGCAAAAAAATTGATCAAATAATCTTGCTTCTTCGCATGATGAACTTCATGGATGACCGAACACAAATGCTGGAAATTCTATTAATGCCAGATTTTGCCTCAAGGAGTTTAGCTACTCTAGTTCGGTAATCTGATTGTAACAAAGCCTGCATATCATTTGAGGCTGAGAAAAATTATAGGAATATGGTAAAAGAAGAAGGTGCCAGGGCAAACAACTTCTACAATAGCTTCAAGAACATCTCATGGCAACACTACAAGAGTAGGCCTACAGTAGTCAGAACAGTAACTATCAGGCCTCTCAAAAATATATGATATTAGTATCCAGGTAATGCATGAGTAAAAAAAACAAAAAACATTTGTCTGTGACTCATTAAAACTTATGAAATTAACCATATTCATATTTACCGTTAGGAAAGGCAAGGAGACTTATGAGAAGAAAGAAAAATGCCACGCAGCAAAGTCCATTCCAGATATTCTGTTCCGAGTCATCCTCACTAGTTCTGCAAATCAAAAATTAAAACATAGTATTAGACCATGTATAGTAGCTTCACTTAAGGAAATGGATAAACATTCAATATCAACAATCATATATGGTTGCACAATTTTTTTTCATAGAATCACACTTCTAAACTCAAATACAACACCATTTTGGAAATATTTTTTTTAATCAGTGTACTGCACTAGTAAAAACTGTGAAATTGGATGTAAAGTAGAAGGTCAACTATACTTGATATGGGTCATACAGGGTTGTAGCTAATGAGGAGTAAGGGAAGGGATAGATATTTTGAGGGTGGGTGTGTGATAACATTGGTAAACTCTAGATAATATGAGTGGACTTTAAGGATGGAAAAGTGGGTTAATAAAGGGTGGGTGGAAGGCCATGAAATTAGCTTTAAACTGGGTGAAAACTTCAAGGCTGGGTGGCCCCGCCCACTATAACTACATCCCTGGTCATATTGTGATGGTAGCATAGGAAGTTCCACAATAGAAATGAAGATGATCTTTTAATTTACAATAAAAAATACAATTTTAAGTTGATGAAATTTAAATATGGCTTTACTAAATGTATGATTCAACAGAAATATTAAAAATTAGGCCCATACTAAATATTCAATTTTGCCATTCTAGCTAATAATTAATATCATAAAAAAATGTTTTGGAAATTAACTTTCTCATTTTGCGATAACATACAAACATATGTTCCAACCTTCCCAATTAGATCGGTATTCTTCCAAATTTTTATGCAATCCCGAATATAAATTCTTCCAAATTTTAGAAAAGAAACCAAAAAAAAAACCAGTTTATCAGTGGCTTTTTGGTACCAATAATACTCAGTGTAAATTTTTCCTTTGTTCACCGACAATGCGCAAACTGATGTTGGCATAAAAAGGGTTTCCGAGTGTTACTGACACCTACAACTGTAGAAAGATCAGAAAGAAAACAAACATGAAAACAAATTTTGAGGTGAAAAAAAATTTGGAGGTGGGGTTGGAAGGTGCACCTGCAGTCTCCTGATTTTAAAGTTCCAGGGGTTGTCTGTATAAATTAACTTCAGCATAGAAATTATTAAATAAAGAAAATGTGCACACTGATTTTTATACTGGATAATGAAAAAAAAAATTACAATAAAATCACTTTCGTCCAGTGACTGTCCCGGGAAAGTATAATTTTTCCCTGTAAAATTATGAAGGGCTAGCCTAGCTAGGACTAAATTAATTTCAACCAATACATACTGTATTAGGTTGGGGGTGCACCTGCAGTCTCCTGATTTTAAAGTTCCAGCAGGGGGGTTGTCTGTACAAATTAACTTCAGCATAGAAATTATTAAATAAAGAAAATGTGCACACTGATTTTTATACTGGATAATGAAAAAAATAATTACAATAAAAACACTTTCGTCCAATGACTGTCCCGGGGATAGTATAATTTTTCCCTGTAAAATTATGATGGACTAGGCTAGCTAGGACTAAATTAATTTCAACCAATACATACTGTATTAGGCATACTAGGCTACTCCTCCTAAGGCTATAGGCTAGAATATGCCCAGGCCTAGTCTAGTAGAGTCTAGGGTAGCCTATCCAAGCCTTGCTATACGGTCATCCCAATTGGCCCAAGAAGAAAAATTATTAGAGATGCCTACCGAGTAAATGCAAAAAACAGCGTTGCGAAAAAAGCACCAAATAATAGAGTGAGAGTATGAGGCTTGTAAAAGAATTCTAGTGTTATATCATCCACTTCTTGTTCATTTATAAGATGGAAATGATCACTGATTTCAGATGAAGTTCGCCTGTGCCCTTTCTTTGGTCGCCTCATCTCTCATGGGCGTACACACTCTACACGTCGCTGTTGTAAAATACAGTATGAATTACTGATCTTGCATGCTGTTTTATAGAATATTCCATTAAGGAATAGCACATACAATAATACTTTTAATATAATTTCAAACTAAACATAAACTGAATATCTTAAATATATAATGTAATTATAATCATAGTTGTTTTTAACTAAACAAAGGTAAATTAAAATATTATTTGAAATATTATTTAATGTGTATTACATTTTCTATTTCGTAATAGCCCTTTTCTTTAAATGGAGTATTCCGTTAAAAACTCGTGTTGCTGGTGCCTCTTAAAATAAATATGACAGTGCAGTGGTAAACTCCTTTGCATTGATTGTTGTGTTGAAAGGAAAATGGTAGGGCCTAAGCTAAGCTATTGCTTATACATAAAGCGTAAAGATGAATTATATAGCTATTCGTTATTATTAATTGAGATATAACTGTATGATTATAATATAGGGGTTTTTTGGACTAGGCCCTAGCCTACCTAGAGGGCCAGGCTGAAGCCATGTCCAGGGCCCACTCCTTCCTTATTTTTAAATTAGGCAGAGGAGCTAGGCCTGGCCCTAACCTAGGCCTAGTCGCGCGCAATTGCTTACCTTTTCAGTGATATGAAATGGAGGCTGTCTGCTCTCAGTCTTTCCGTGTGTCACTGTTAGATGATCACTAGTATTATTTAGTTTAGGTTAATCTTATAGTTTTACAGAACACACACAAAATAAATAGTAATGGCCATCTCAACGCCATCCTGTCAGGAGGAATATGATAGACGTCTGCGTGAAATGGAAGAACAAGAAGGTCTTTTGAAGTGTACTAAAGATTCTGTAAATAAACTTAAAGAGGATGTTTCAAGTTTGGCTAAGGTAGGTAAACAATGAAGGTATAAAATAAATTTCAAATTTTATACAGGCCCATAATAAATAACAGTTATTAATACTAGACCTAGTAAGTTTCTAGTATTGTTTGTATTAAATGGCAAAGTTGATGTAAAAATTCTCATACTTTTTGAATCCTAAAAAGATTTTAAAGCTAATTTCATGGCCTTCTGCTCACCCTTATTAACCTACTTTTTCATCCTTAAAATCCACTCTTATTATTTAGAGTTTACCAATTGTTATCACTCACCCACCCACCCTTAAAATGTCCATCATCGTAGGGGGTCACCGATGCTAATGTACATTTCAGCCCCTGTTTTTGTGGAATGATGTGAATGTAGCCAGAAGCGCCTCTTTACGGCGGCTCAGGTAGTCATGGACCACACCCATACGCAATTCAGCACAATTGACGCTGCAAGTTATGGGTTATTTTCCTACCTTTTTATATAATAATATATGTACGGGATACCTACATTCTATTTTATATTAACATTTTAAATATTTCTATCGAAGCTAGTCTTTTATGAATAGCTGTCTTGCAAATTGGAATATATATTTTAATGTTTGATATTTCACATACTATATATGAAAATGTTCTTATATTTAACATTGTATTTATTTTATTTTTTTACTACTGTAATACAGGAATTGGAAGAATACCAGTTAATTAAAAAATGGGGCAAACAGTCTGATAAAGTTATGAGACCAGAAGAAGAAGCTCTTAAAATTTGTCAAAAAGTCGAGGATGAACCAGAGTTATTAGCAAGTAAGACCATTTAGCCAGACCTGAAATAGTTGGTATAAACCGAAAGCTAAATTTGCAGTAGAAGATTTGTACTGGTTTTCTCAATAATTGTTTTTGCACTGTAGACTATTGTATTATTGACAATACAGTAGGCTTGTAACCATCTACAGTATGTTCACTAAAATGACATACATTTATTCCAATGTTTCATATTTGCTAGGCATCTTATCATCACTGAAGTACCAGCAGACAAAAATGGAGGCCGAGGTAGCAGAGAGTAGAGCAAGGTTGAAGGCTGCAGAAAGGGAGAAAACAACTTAGAGTATGAGGATTGTTGTAAAAGTAATTTCACACCAAGGCCATTAAATTTAAGACTGCCTTACTGAAATAGTAAAGGGCTATTACCGATCCAAATATAAACACAAATTTTGCATTCAGCATAGAAAAGCACAGTAATTCTCACTAGGTCTATGGGCGTCAATCAGTGAGGTATGAGATACAGTATGTCCCTCTTCCACTTACTAAACTCAATATACAGTAATTGAATTATACTACGTACCTACAGTATTATACACTCCAATGTTGACAATTTTGTCTTGACTATAAGATTGCAGAAATCTTTTCTTATCCCTCCTCACTTCAGGGACCCTAGCCATCAACCATGAGTTTCTTGGTAAGGTGTTTTCCACAACAAGGACTACATTTCCCACTTGCAAGTTTCTGCAGGGTTTTTGGATGTGCTGGGGTTTGATGATTCCGTTATTACAGATACCCTATAATATAATAGCAATGAAGACTATGAAACGTCTGGTGGTATTGTTAATGTATCACAACACTGTCTGACAGTCAGTCTAGTATGTAATCTCATTGATGCCATGTAGCTTCTCTACCATTCCTGCAAGGCGAACCACCATTACCGCTGCTGTTAGCTCCAGTCGTGGTATGGATACTTCAGTGGTGTTACACGACTTCTGGCGAGGACCAAAGAACATTCAACATGTCCTTCATTTTCAGCTTGTCTTAGGTATGCTGCCATACCATATCCTTTATCGCTGGCATCCGAGAACATGTGCAATTGGCGCGAGACTACATCTCTAAGTCTGAGTCTCTGATTAACAATGTATATTACCTTTGACCCATCACAAGGGACATTATTTCCTATGTTGGCATTGATAGCCAAAATCTAAAACTTCTTAAAGGTAAATCATCTTGGGTTGGTGTTTCATTATTTGTTGCTGGTATTTCTTTTAAATGGTGTAAAGGGTTGGTCTGTGCAATTGGTGAAATACAAATTGGATTTCCCTCTTGATAGAAATGATATATCCACTGTAATTTATAAATCAAGAATAAACCTTTTTGGCAATATGATATGGTATAAAATTTTTATGCAGAGTTTCCTTATTTAGAGTATGCCTCCACAAAACAAAAACCCCCAAAATAATAGTGTAACTAAAGATTACAATAGTTATAAGTGCAAAGTATGTTCAACCACCTGGAATTTAAAATGATAAAAATTTACTTGAAAACTGACTTGGAAAAAAATGGGATGAGTTGTGTGTGGTATACTTCAGTGGTCAAGCACAGGAAGGAATGAATTTTGTTATTTTTTTTTTAACCAATGAAATACTTGTACATAAAAAGGGAATTTGCTTATACCCAAAGGATAAGATGAGTCAAACTGGTGACTTTTTTAAGTGCTATAAAAAGTCTGAACAAAAGAAGCAGTCATAACACGGTGGTTCCTATTAACTTGCTTTTATTTTTAAAAGTTTCTATATTGCAGCTGGCTTGTACATAAGATGTGATGAAGAACGTTGTAAAGAATGTATATTGATAAGTCATTTATGAAGTTCCATAGAAATTATGATTATTAGGTAATTTGTTAATTGCAGCTGGTGAAGTTGTTTTACATCTTCCAAGGATCGTCTTGTACATAAGATGTGATGGAGAACATAGTAAAGAATGTATTATTATATAATGTATATTGATAAGTCATTTTTTGAAGTTTCATAGAAATTATGATTATTAGGTAATTTCTGAGTTTCCAAATTTATTATATCATAAGTGTAAGGTTGTTGATATTATATTGTAATGACAACAGTATTTTTCACCTCAATAGAATGTTTTCTATTCTAACAGTTGTCAATAGGCATGATTATTTTTCGAGTATTTAAAAAATCATTTCATTAAAATAAGTAGTTAACACTGTTATTATGTACTATACATATTATACCTCCAACATTTATGTCTGTTTTTTATTGTTTTTTTTAACAATATAATAAATTTTTCCAATATTCAAGAAAGTTTACAAGACAATATTATATTTTCTCTTTGGCTTTTCAAAATGATCAGTCATATATAAATTAGTGTTTTCATGAAGAAGTTTACTGTGATTTGAGTTCCTTTGCAATAGTCGAGTCAATTCGGCCCTTTTCCAATTGGCCAAGCAGTTTAAGCTCAATATTATTGAATAGCACAGAAGCCCAGTGTTCTAGAGGAACAGTAGAAGTCTTTTTGGATAAAAGAACTATAACCGTTGGCCCAGTGTACACAATTGGCTTATGTGCACTTTAAAGAACCCTATATTTGAATGCTTTTGTACAGTATGTCAATGCAGGCAGCTTTTATTAAATAAAAGAACAAGAAAATTTATTATTGAAAATGTTACCCTTCCTACATTCAATGGCCAAATTGTGTCCAAAAACAAACTTACAGGGTTGGCTGAAAATGTTATAGCTGTGTATGTTCAAGATATTAAAAATATTAAATATTAGAATAGGTTGTTAAAAAAATAGAAATATTTAAATTGTGTTATCGAGGTAGCATTTCATCCAAATCAGCAACAACATAGGTCACAACGGTCCAGACAGCTGCACAGAGATCCATCTCATCCGGGCTCTGTACTGACATAGTATCACCTGCAAGTGAAAATAATTGTTATTACTACTATACAATTCCTAGCACAGTAGACTAATATAGCACATCATGCTAAGACATCAGTTATTCCTTAATGTTGCAACCGCTAGTCAGCGCATTTGGCACTCTAGCCCCCACCATGTTAATTGCAAGTACTCCTAGTTGGAGAGAGACAATGTTTATAAAGTGCCTTGTCCAAAAGACACAATAGAAATGCACAGTTAGGATTCTAAAGCCAGATTTCAAGGTTGAGAGCCCAAACAGCAACTTTTGCTCCAACCAGTCCCACAGGTATTAGCCTATCTCCTAACTTTTGTGTACTGATAATTTTCATGCCATGGCCTGGCCATCCTGGGAAAAAATGGAACAGAAATTCTGCAATATGTGTTTCACACAACTAACTTTTTGTGAAGCTATCTGCATTTGTAGGAGCAGTTTGGCACAGTGGTTGAGGTTCTGCTTTTTAGTCTTAAGGTTTAATCCCTTGCTGTACATTTCACTTGTGTCCTTAGCCAAGGCACTTTACCTACAGTAGTGTGTCTCTCCACCCAGGAGTACAAGTCTCTCTCCACCCAGTACAAGTTGGTTCCTGGTAGGTTCAAACACAAAATGCACTGATTACAACTGCAACACTATGGAATTCTCCTCAGGGAGCTGAGTATGTGTTCCATATTTGCTTGATCCCAGTGACCGGGTTTAATAATGTGAAGCGCTTAGAGGCCATGTTGCGCTATATAAGTCTAATATATTATTATTATTTTCATAAACTCAATATTCTGTTTAAAGAAGTGTTGACTTCTACACAAGTAATTATTATAATTATTGTTGATGTAAATTATTATCCTCACCTTATTTTGTGTTACTATTATAGTAGTATTAATATTTATTGGTCTTTAATTATTATTGAAAAAACCATGTTTAAACCAAGAAATCATACCATCTGAATGATGAAACCAAAAGTATCTATCATTTTCGTTTAATAGACTGCCTCCTGGGACGCCATTTTGAATCCAGAATGATACATCACCGCCTTCTGGATCGTCACTCAGCTTTGTGGCATTTATTGATGATAATAAACTAACCACCTCTTTCATAATTGCTCTAGCTTCTGGTGAACCTAAGAGACAAAAAAGACTTGATTACTCATAAATAATAGCAGTTCATCTTTGTGGAGGAAGGTAAAGAAACTTTGTAAGAGAGACGACTCATGCATTAGATTGTGTCCTGAATTTAAGAAAGATTCCCCTTCCTAAATTTTTTGTGGCTGGAGCTTTATTTTACTTATTTTTCATACACTGAAAGCCAATATGTATACATTTATGTAGCTATCAAGTTTCATGTGGGAAATTTTACTACTTAATAGCCCGTATAAGGGCATGATAATATATATACAGTACTGCACAATTTTGAGTATTCTTATTGACGAAGTAAGCCATTTATTATTAGAACTAAATATACTGAGATTTGGGTTGGAATCGAACCTACAACCTCCAATTAACTCAGCGGTCTAGTCGTATCATACCAGACTAGTTTGGTAAAAACAACTTCCTAATTTGGTCTTGCTACTCACAAAATTGTGTATGATGTAGTCACTGTCTATAAATTTTTGAAATTATTCATCCATCTTTTCTTTCTCTATAATTGTCCGTTCTGATATGGTTTCATTTCAGAAAACTTGATTACGTCTCACCTTTAAACTGAATACCATACGGTTTAAATGTCCCTAAGTCAGATTCCATCACAAAATCATAATTACTTATATTCACCTGCAAAAAAGTTAGTTTGCTTATTTAAATTATTCAAATAGTGGGGAGGGGTAAACAGATTTAGCTCCCCACCCCTAGAATTTTATCAACATGTATGTTTTGTAGAACTCAAAATTAAATAGCTTAGTATAGTTGGCTTTAATTTAAGACCTCGGAAGATAACAGTTAATCAGCCATGCCCACATCATGACCGTACTCGCATGGTGAAGTTGAGATAAGAGTTGATTCAAGCTGTTTGAAATGTTTGGTAGCACCCTCCCCCTATCAAATAATCCTTGATTCACCCCTGCACATATTGCCTAGAAGAAGTAGCAGTAAAAACATCATGGATCAATAGACGGATTTTGCGATGAAAACAACCACCCATTGTTAATGTGAGAAGTAAATGGCTAGGAAAGGCAATACGATTGTTCAAGATAGTGGTTATTTACTTATCCTAGCGTTCTAGCATTCTTAAACCTTAGCTAGCCTTAACATCGCAGCATAGTTTGCGGGTCAAAGATGATCATGCAACCTAACCATGCCATAGATGTTCAGGGGCCTAGGCATAACAGCGGCCAGTATCCTTTACAGTATTAGCAAACCAATAAGGCAAATTTCCAATCAATTTGGTATAGTTTACTGGGAATTATGATGATCTTTACAGCAATAAAAAGGGAAGGCCGCAATAGCAATCTCCATGTAAAACACCGCTGTGCCAGTCGATTGTTTATATTCAACACCCAAGTTAGGTCACATGATGCCCATCGCCAAATCCCTCTATTAAATTTAGTACAGATATTGACAAAAACAAGCTAATTTAAAATTAACCAATCCATAGTTTGTGAAGCTGCTGAGTTTTACCTTGTGTCTCTGATAGTACTGCTGTGACCCTACAAGACCCACTTCCTCTGCTGTCCACAACACAGCCCTAACGGTTCGCTTTGGTCGCAGGCCAAGCTGCTGCATGATGGATAGTGCCTGAAGAAAACAAAACAATTACACATAAAAAGTAAGCCAATTGTAAGGATTAGTTTTTCCATCGCCTATTTCTAGTCATCAATACAATCAAATTGGTAATACAGTACAATAACATAACACTTTGGGTAAATTAGAATTTTGAGATAAATTTTGGCAAAAATGATGACAGCCATAATTCTTACCTGCCATGATATAAATGCTCCACCACCATCATCCATTGCCCCTTGACCTACGTCCCAGCTGTCAAGATGACCCGATATAAGTACCACCTATTAAAATAAAACATTTTCATTTAAAAAAATCTGTGACGCTCACGCTCACCTATGTTTCTGGTGGTGGAACAAGTGTTCTCGGATAAGTACTATAAACCGTAGGCCCGGTGTACACAATTTGGCTCATGTGCACTTTAAAAAACCCAGTACATCTTTCGAGAAGAATAGGGGGTTACCCCGTTATACTGGTTCATACACCCCCTGTTGTGGACAGACGAGAGCTGGTACCGGTTTACCGGTAGCTCAGGCATAAAGAGACCCTTATGGGGGAAAAAGGTTACTGTACGAGCTGTCTCTTATACACATCTAGATGTGTATAAGAGACAGACTCACAAAACTGTGTATGATGTAGTCACTGTCTATAAATTTTTGAAATTATTCATTCATCTTTTCTTTCTCTATAATTATCTGTTCTGATATGGTTTCATTTCAGAAAACTTGATTACGTCTCACCTTTAAACTGAATACCATACGGTTTAAATGTCCCTAAGTCAGATTCCATCACAAAATCATAATTACTTATATTCACCTGCAAAAAAGTTAGTTTGCTTATTTAAATTATTCAAATAGTGGGGAGGGGTAAACAGATTTAGCTCCCCACCCCTAGAATTTTATCAACATGTATGTTTTGTAGAACTCAAAATTAAATAGCTTAGTATAGTTGGCTTTAATTTAAACTTTAATTTAAGACCTCGGAAGATAACAGTTAATCAGCCATGCCCACATCATGACCGTACTCGCATGGTGAAGTTGAGATAAGTGTTGATTCAAGCTGTTTGAAATGTTTGGTAGCATCCTCCCCCTATCAAATAATCCTTGATTCACCCCTGCGCATATTGCTTAGAAGAAGTAGCAGTAAAAACATCATGGATCAATAGATGGATTTTGCGATGAAAACAACAACCCATTGTTAATGTGAGAAGTAAATGGCTAGGAAAGGCAATACGATTGTTCAAGATAGTGGTTATTTACTTATCCTAGCGTTCTAGCATTCTTAAACCTTAGCTAGCCTTAACATCGCAGCATAGTTTGCGGGTCAAAGATGATCATGCAACCTAACCATGCCATAGATGTTCAGGGGCCTAGGCATAACAGCGGCCAGTATCCTTTACAGTATTAGCAAACCAATAAGGCAAATTTCCAATCAATTTGGTATAGTTTACTGGGAATTATGATGATCTTTACAGCAATAACAAGGGAAGGCCGCAATAGCAATCTCCATGTAAAACACCGCTGTGCCAGTCGATTGTTTATATTCAACACCCAAGTTAGGTCACATGATGTCCATCGCCAAATCCCTCTATTAAATTTAGTACAGATATTGACAAAAACAAGCTAATTTAAAATTAACCAATCCATAGTTTGTGAAGCTGCTGAGTTTTACCTTGTGTCTCTGATAGTACTGCTGTGACCCTACAAGACCCACTTCCTCTGCTGTCCACAACACAGCCCTAACGGTTCGCTTAGGTCGCAGGCCAAGCTGCTGCATGATGGATAGTGCCTGATAAAAACAGAACAATTACACATAAAAAGTAAGCCAATTGTAAGGATTAGTTTTTCCATCGCCTATTTCTAGTCATCAATACAATCAAATTGGTAATACAGTACAATAACATAACACTTGGGTAAATTAGAATTTTGAGATAAATTTTGGCAAAAATGATGACAGCCATAATTCTAACCTGCCATGATATAAATGCTCCACCACCATCATCCATTGCCCCTTGACCTACGTCCCAGCTGTCAAGATGACCCGATATAAGTACCACCTATTAAAATAAAACATTTTCATTTGAGAAATCTGTGAAAATGGTTGAAAGATGTTGTCTATCACTATGATGTATATATAATGGCTGCCATAACCAATCTAATGGTTAATTTTTACAAAGCTCAAAACTAGGGTCTCAACCCACTATGTTTAAGTGTTAGGAAATTGGAGAAAAATTAAGAAGCTAAAGGCAGGGAAAAAGGTAATTTATTTACTCCCAACGAACAACTTGATTTATCCGTTAGGAGGTATCAACTTCTTAAATAAAAAAATGACAGCAAAGTATACTGTAACATCACGATTGAATGGCCGAGCAGGTAAGGCATGGGAGCCATGTACAGCCATAATACCAGCACTGGTTTGAACGGTACGCTCACCTATGTTTCTGGTGGTGGAACAAGTGTTCTCGGATAAGTACTATAAACCATAGGCCCAGTGTACACAATTTGGCTCATGTGCACTTTAAAAAACCCAGTACATCTTTCGAGAAGAATAGGGGGTTACCCCGTTATACTGGTTCATACACCCCCTGTTGTGGACAGACGAGAGCTGGTACCGGTTTACCGGTAGCTCAGGCATAAAGAGACCCTTATGGGGGAAAAAGGTTACTGTACGAGCTAGTCCACACATATAGCGCTTTGAGATTCTGGTATAAAGCACTATATATATATATCAAACTACATTACAACTTACTTGGTCAGGATACTTGCTTCCTCTGATCTCGGCAACTGTGTTGCGAGATGTAACTGAAGGCAGATTCTGAGCATCCATTTTCAGATGAATCACAATCTTTGTTCCTTGAAAATAATCATGAAAAAAAAAGAGAAATTAGATGGCCTGAGCAGACTAGATTGATGGTAAAGAGAAGTGATTCAGATAATATATAAAATATATTTGATTTCATAAAGTGCCTTACTCCAGGTCTCTAGCCCATAATCTTATGATTTAAAGCCGAAAGGTTTAGCACTGCACCAAATTCCACAGATTTACATACACTAAAGACAATTTACTAAGCAAACTAAAAAGTTTCAGGAACATCAGCATTAAGATATAAAGTAGATTAGAAAACTTGTGAAAAAATTAATCAACTAAAATTTAACAATTCTTGCTGATTACCTCTGCTTGCCATTCTGTCCAACATCTCAGCATCTTCAACAGCAATACAAGCTGTTGGGATCTTCTTTACATTGTCATCATAATCCTGAATTTTAAAATAGAGAGAGACTTTCACTTACAGATAAAATAATTCTCACCCAACAGCCAGTAATGCATATTTTTTACAGAATGCAATAATATGATCCTGACATGTCACTTACATAATACGCGACTTACAGAATATTTTGACATTTGACCCGAAGGAATAAAATGATGTGCTACTTATAGGATGGAATAAAGTGATGTGTCACAGTATGGAATTCAGATATGTGAAATGTAACATGCTAGGTACATGGAATAATGTGATATGTGACTTACAATACAGAATAAAGTGATGTGGATGAAATGAGGTGATGAGTCCCTTCAAGAACAGAATGTAATAATAATTAATAATGTAATGTGTGACATAACTGGATGAAATGTGACATGTGATTTACAGAATGGGAATGATCTGACACACCATTTAAAGGAAGGAATAATTTGATGCGCTTCTTACACGGTAGAATATTGTGACGCTTAACTTACAGTATGGAATTATGTGACACCCTGATAAAATAATGTGGCATGTGACATCACAGAATGGAATAATGTGATAGGCTGATAAAATAATGTAATGTGCAACTAACAAGAGAAATGCGATGTGCCTTGGTAATACACAGTATGCTATAGAAGACAAGTAAATATTTTTATTATTAGTTTATTTTTAATGTAATTTAAAGGTAAAGTAACATATTGTTAAGTTGTAGGGCACAAAATACAAGTTTCCTTTACCTGCCAGCCAGTGTGTGGACTGTGAATGGAAAATGAGGCAACTGATCGTATAAGACTAGCTACACCACCGACTTTAGCCGTTTCCTTGGCGCTGTAATCACGATATGCAACACTTTTTGGATATCCCTCGTAGCCTTCATTAAAAACCACTATCTTGCCTTTAGCCTGTAGAAAAATGTACAATCCAAAAATACAAACCATAATAGAAATATTTTATATATTTTTTTTCTTCTGGTTTAATATAGGAACAGGCATTATTTATGTATAAATTAGTCAGGGCATATTTTTTAATTTTGAAAGCTGATAAGATGTCACTTATAAACAAAGTAATAAACAATCAGACACTGAAAGTGTATACCTCAACAAAGAATGTATACATTTATGATTCAATGAAATTGAAAAGGTCAATAAAATTAACAACTAAAGGGAACCATGGGGGAAACAAAAGATCATCTTTCTTCTTCTGGATTTAGCACCAACTTCAAGTTGAAGGCTTCGGCGCGAGCTTCTACTGTAGATGAGAGTCTCATCCGGAAGTAAATAATAGTTGAATAAAAAATAAATAGAATCAATACCTGTGACCCAAGGCGTTGCCTTTGCAGGTGCTATCCCTGAGGGGTTGGAGGGAACCAGGAGCTCATCTTGGGCAAGGCTGCTTAATTCCTTTGGTAAGGCCATTAGCCTAATACTGTACTAATGAACCTTACCTTACTAGAATACCCATTTTTTCAATCAGGCTAGAGGCAACTGATCAGAATTAGTAATGATGGGTCACAAGAGTTTATTATGCCATCATAATGGCTGATATAAGGTTATGCATGATGAAGTGGCATTATTCCACATTTACTCACCTGGTCAGCTTTCTTCTTCAGCTCATCAAATGACCGCACTACCAGAACTTCAGCTGTGATACCTGTTTATACAAAATTTGTGAAATCAAATCATAGGTCATAAACCTAAAAATCTACCATCATAATTTAGTTATATTTTACAAGGTTAATAATAATAATAATTATTACCAGTGCTAACTCGGACTTAAGGGGTTATCTTTTGTGTTATTTTCCCCTTAACGTCATGTTATTTTCTCCTTAACGTCCTTTTTTTAATTGTTCTCTAATTTTTCCATTGTCCAAGTTCCCCGGTTTAAGTAACATAATAATAATAATAATAAAAAATAAAAAATAAAAAAATAATAATAAAAATAATCTTTATTTATTCATGACTCTTTAACCCTGTAGATGTTCTTACAAAAGACTGTGAGGTACATTAATACAATTATAATATGACTTGTTTTTGTCAGTTACAATTCTTCTGCATTGTCCAAATAGGTAATATGCAGGTTAATTATATTATAGATAACATTTTACCTTCTTTTGGAGTGCCGATACTGCTTCCCAGACTCATCAGTGCAATATTGTAACGTCTTGGTTCTAACATCGTAGCTGATTCATTTCCTCTAACCCAGTGTGGCACCTAAAAAACAAATACTGATATTATTTTTATACGATAATAATTTCACTACATATCTTTTGAATGCAAAGTATAAGTTATGTCTTGAAGGCATAACACAACTGTGGAACGGTTATATAAATATAATATACAATAACAAGTTCAAATACGTATAAACATGATGCACAAACAAGAACAATAAACCAGTACAAAAGTGCAAATGAACATCAAACAAGTTATCAAGAGACAAATTGATATGACTTGTTATATCTCAATACCAATTTTGTTATCAAGCAAAGAGCATAACAGCCTTACTGCTTCTACATAAGACGATCAACAGAGACCAAGAACCATTATCCTCCCCCTTAGAGAGATCTCCACAAATGCTGATTACATTAACCTTGATGCTTTATAACCAAGTATATTTATTAAGGAGTGAGAGTTGATGTTGCTTTCGAGAAAATTTTGACATTTTTGACGATGACTGAACACAAGACCTCAGGACTAGAAAAAGAAACATTTTAATATATTTTTCTGATTCCTACCGTGACATTTTCTCCATGTACATTTTCTAGACCAGCTTTCTTTAAAGTGTCTAACATGTAATCTGAAATGAAATCAATGTACAATAATTGCATTTATCATGTGAGATTTAAGAAAAAGTTATAATATTAATTCCATGCATTCTTTCTGTTACAATAGGCAATATCATTTAACTTACCAATAGCATTTTCCAAGTTTCTGGAACCAGCTATTCTGTTACCAAAAGTGTCCACAAACTCTGCAAGTCGGTTATAAACCTGGCCTTTGCCCTTGCCTGTTGTTGTGAAATTTATAATCTTTTCAGCAATACCTTCAAGAAAATTTATGAAAACAGATTATATAATGTATTGTACGGTAAAAACTAAAAAAAACATCTTTTACAATACAATTTGATTTACGGTATGATCAAGAATTGCTAATAGCGAATCTATTAGGTGTGAGTGGCAATCCCATTTACTACTGTAACACAACACGGCATCATGGACTGGTACTAAATTTCTCAATACACAATGAGACACTATAAAACACACTTCCAACATGCCATAGTGCATTAAGATAACAAGTGAAGTTTAAAAGGGAACTAGAAAGATGATTTTTTTTTTCTAGAAGGGATTTTTGATATGTTACTAGTAATAGAATCACTGAGTACATCACGCTGCTAAAGGGGTAAATTGTAATAACGACATAAAAAAATTTCAAAAAATCAATCTTAAAGTTGATTCTATTACTAATAACATATCAAAAATCCGCTCTAAAAAAAATGAGATATCAAATCCGCATTACGCCTACATACTACTTTCATTTACATTTCACCAGTGGAGATTCTAGATATGGTATTTACCTTGATAATCATGGACTTCTTTTATTTGTCTGCTTGGAAACTTCAGAATATATCCATTTGAAAATCCCACAATAAAGTAGGTACCTGTGCAATAGAAATATTATGTATTAATTACTTAAAATTGTTGATTTTAGCAAAAATGTTAACAGTTTTTGATGTAACACTTTATGTTGAAATGCATTTGTTTTTTCATCTGCATAAATGTTAATTATCAATGTGAATATTTTAAACTGTGAACTATCATTTGATGGTTCTCATAAAAATATTCAACCAACACCTTCCATTATACATTAAAAGTTGATCACCATAAACAAATACTGTAATTAAAATATAAATAAAGCTGGTGGTAGTTATGATATTATTACATGTTTATTACTTTATTTGATGGTTTTCATATAACACATGTTCATAAACAATTCAAACAATACCGTACACATTATACTGTTGATCTTGACATAAACAATTATTAAAATATCAATAGGATTGGTGGTAGTGTGAAATAACTACAGGCTTATTACATTAACGATTCTCATAAAACACACGTTCATGAAAAAATTCAAACATTACTATAGAAAAGTATACTTACACACAAACACTCCCCAGAATGAAAGACTAGGAAAAACTGTCATGGCTAAAAACCAAGGTCGTATTTAATGCCTATGAGGATGAAAATGAAATAAAAATAAAGTTAAAATCAGGCTCCGGAGGAGATTTTCAAGCTTATTAATTTTTCGTAATTCTTTCCAGGCATTTACAAAATGTTGCAGATTTACGGAAAGTCCGGGCTCAGAATAGCTGTGGTGTATATTTAGAGGTTCCACATGTCTTCAAGCAGTATGAACCGTGTACAGTTTTCCCTCCAATTTGAGACTATCTTTTTGGGACTTGAAAATGTGGGGTGGTCTCACCTCAGGGTTTGGTCTTCAACAAAAGGTTCGGATATTCAACAAAAGGTTCAGATATTTGTTCAATTGTACTTTAAAAGTGGTCTCGAACTAAAAGGGTAGTGAAATTGTATTTTAAGTGACTTCATGCATTACGTATATCAGGGTTTGCCAGTCAAAAATGGTGATGGTTTATTGAGATGTGATGGTTACACAGCACTCCAGACAAAAGGGGGCCTGGCACGAATGAAACATTGGCTTAATTGTTGGCCGTGGATATTCCCTCCAATTTGAGACTATCTTTTTGGGACTTGAAAATGTGGGGTGGTCTCACCTCAGGGTTTGGTCTTCAACAAAAGGTTCAGATATTTGTTCAATTGTACTTTAAAAGTGGTCTCGAACTAAAAGGGTAGTGAAATTGTATTTTAAGTGACTTCATGCATTACGTATATCAGGGTTTGCCAGTCAAAAATGGTGATGGTTTATTGAGATGTGATGGTTACACAGCACTCCAGACAAAAGGGGGCCTGGCACGAATGAAACATTGGCTTAATTGTTGGCCGTGGATATTCCCTCCAATTTGAGACTATCTTTTTGGGACTTGAAAATGTGGGGTGGTCTCACCTCAGGGTTTGGTCTCACCTCAGGGTTTGGTCTTCAACAAAAGGTTCAGATATTTGTTCAATTGTACTTTAAAAGTGGTCTCGAACTAAAAGGGTAGTGAAATTGTAATTTAAGTGACTTCATGCATTACGTGTATCAGGGTTTGCCAGTCAAAAACGGTTATGGTTTATTGAGATGTGATGGTTACACAGCACTCCAGACAAAAGGGGGCCTGGCACGAATGAAACATTGGCTTAATTGTTGGCCGTGGATATCCATCATAGTGTGTTAATTGTTTCCTTCCTAAATCAGCATTAACGTTCGTGCGGCAGTTTCAAATCTGCAGCGGAATTTGCAAATTGCACTCTACAACTAATACTATATGAGTGTATATCCCTAACCATAGAAAAAATAGAACTATTTTCTCTATGCCCTAACTAAGCCAGCACACAGCGTACGTAGGCTCTAGCTAAGTCTAACCCGTGTGTGCGATAGTGTTGAATTACACAACCCGTGGCTAGCCTAGGTAGTAGTCTTGCTCTTTATCGTAAGTTTATGTCACATAGTCAGTACTCTGTTAACAAACAGGAAATTAAATTTACATCATCGTTAAATTTTACATCGCACCAAAATATTTTGCAAATATAAACATAATGATTAATAACACATGTAGTAGTAATAAAATGTTCAAAGGACATGATACAAACCCAACTCCGCACCACTGCTTGTCACATGACCTATGTTTATGTATCGACACGTGACGCGAGTAAAAAAAGGGACATTCCCAAATCAGAGATAAACAATCGTCGTTAGTTTATGCAAGGGGGTTAAACAAACAAAAGCGCAGATAGATTAACGTAACAGTGGCGTATCTACGGAGGGGAGGGGGGGTGGCGCAATCCCCAAAATTACTCGCCCCCCCCCCGGTCTCCCTCAAAAAATCACCTAAAATCACCTTATTTTGCGAATTAGCTCCCCTATCAACTGATCAGACGAGCCCTCCCCACCCTATTTCAAGACTTCTAGATACGCCACTGCAACTTAAGAACACGACTAATACAATTTTGGTCAATTGCTATGCATGAAAGAGAAATTCTATTCTGAATTCTAGGCTCACTCACTGGCCCAATATCTGGCTATGGCATTGCTAGTAGGGAAGTGTTTAAGCACCACCCCCACCTCATCAGGGAGAGAGTTTACCCACTTGCTTAAAAACACCCACCCCAGAGAGCTTCCCCACTTCCCTTTGTTGGAAAAGCTCAGCAGTTCCCCTTGAATGAGACAGTGCATGTGACATGCCATTACTGTATATCCAACATGGACAGTCATCCAAAACGTCACTAAAAATGCCATCATCTGTGCATCTCCTATCATTCAAACTGTATTTCCTTCTGATCAGTTCCACTAGAGTTATTAACAACCATTATATAAATACACCTGACACCATATTCAAATCTCATGTCTTGTACTCTTTTTATTAACACTGCCTCTAAGGATCTTTAGGTGACAACATTCATGTCATGTATATTAAAATTTTTATAATCATTAAAAACAACATACTGTACTTAATAATCTGTTTCAATACATTCTCACTCTTGTACTCAGTGCAGTGATCTGAGTGGATGTCTGGAAATAAACATATGATGCATAACATCGGGGAAAAAAACATTAGATTTTCTTACATACAGTATATGCAATAACTTGTGCGATAATAATAGGTATTTAGTTTTTTTAATACACAGCTTGGCACCCAATGGCCACTTTATAACATCCTAACCAAAAACCATGAAAACAAATTGACTGCTCCTCTTTTATATAATTAATCTTAATTATTTTGTATCTGATTTTGCATGAATATATATTTTAAATTAAATTTTGATAAAATATCATTTGATTCATGAAAACCCCACTGGGTTCAAGGTAGTGCAATATAGTATGATCCACAGGGACTACACACCAACAAATAGTAATAGCATGACAAATACTAAGTAAACAACGTTTACATATCTAACACAATTTATACTACTGGTAAAATGGGACCAGAAACAACATGACTGTAGTACACAGCAGCGAGTCCTGGTAAGACAAAAAAAAAATACCCCCCTAAGAAATTGAGAATTCCTAGGTATCATTATGGACAGGCAGCTGCAACATCAAATTCAACAAAAAAGAACAAAAACAAACAGCACAAACCTAATGGACAACAAGGGGGTAACCCAAACTGTGGGCTAAAAATTGAAATTGCAATATATAGTGTTTGTCATCATTTTAAATTACGGGAATAAACTGCGAGTAAAGATGTTTGTTTTTCCAGTACTGGCACCATCATCTCTTTTACTACAACATGTAGAATCTATATTTTGGTACCAATATAATTAGGTATAAACACAATATAAGATCAAGATATTATCTTGTATACATGGTGTGATATAACCATTTTTATTTATATCATATAATAGGGTCAATGTAATAAGAATATATATCTTATAAACATGTTATTACCAATGTTATCATCAACAGATTACATATAATTCATTGCTGTTCAAATACAGTATTTTGAACTTTGAACAAAATTAAATTTCAAGTTTTGTCCGTCTTTCTGATTGTTCAGAATTGTCTTTAAATTCCAAGAGTCCAGACTCTTTCTTGGCTATGTCCTGCCATTAATGCTTAGAGTTTCAAATTGGTATATATCTACAAACTTAGGGTGTCAATTACTGCACATACTCAAATAATTTCTAATCACTTAGGGAGCCAGCCCAACATTGTTTTTTTCAACATTCTATCTCTAACTATATATTAACTATCATCTATTTTCTTGCACACTTAACTAAATATTTAAATTGACCAAATACATATTTTTTTAATGCACCTTTACAAAAGAAAATGTAAGAATCAATAGTGTGGGCTAGACTATAATTGGCCCTGAGTGAATTGATGAAAAGTCAACAGTCAGTCGTATACACATAATGGTCAGAAAAAATCACAGCTGGAAGAACCTTACTACTTAGCAATCTGTACTGTTTAACATCTATATAAATTTAAACCAAGCTCAGTGAAATGTACGCCCTCTATTGACCAACTTAACATTATTACCTGCAGATGCTTCAAAGTGGATTTACATCAGATACAACCCTAGTGTTATTAACTCAATGAATATCATGCAATACCATTATTAAAGTTTCTCTACAGGGGACTATAAATTGGTAGAGCAACCTAACAATATTGGGGTCAAATTGCAAAGGTGACAATTCCTCCCTCTCATAATCAATTCCCATAATATCAACTTCAATATAATTATTATTAATCAACATTTAAGTACCCACATAGTTTACACAAGGAAAAAGTTGTGAAAAAAACCCTAGTTACACTTGATGAGGGGAGTACAGGTACTATTTATAATACATTAAAACAATGGCTATGTTTATAATAACTGACAGGGAGGAATCAAGAGGCAGCAGTTACCAGATAATATTGCCCATTAGATTAGCATCCATTTAATAACAACTTACTATAGCATAACCAAATAACTTCACTGGATTTAAATATTTATGAATTTACATTAATTAATTACATAATTTAAAGATCAGCATAAAAATGTTGGGAAAAGGGAACATTTCAAATCAAATTATTTTAAGATTATTGGACACTGGTGTGTTAATGTAAATACAAATTGATTATTGTAATTGCTTTTTCTGCTCTGATGTCAATAAATCTTCCTTTCAAACAATTGTCTCTTGCTGTGTCAATGGGGTGCATGGCACTCCAATGACTAGTAATTATGAACTCAGGATTTCAGAACCAAAACTATGTTTATATCTTTTTTAAACTTAAATCATTAAAGCACCGTATCCACCTATTAACTATACAGGTAATGATAACAGTAGCCCAAATTTTTTTTTTTCTAAAGATAATTGCTCAACATTGTTCAAAATAACCTACAATTCAATTAAGGCAACCCACACCAAATGGCAAACAAATGTATTGATTTCCAAGATTGTGTTGTTCTACATTCTTTTTGAGTAAAATAACCACTATATCTTCTTTGGTAACTTATCCAAACCAATTTATAGAGGTGGATGGAATTTATCTTAGAAATTTTTTTTCAGTTGGTAACACAGCTAACTCATTCATGTAAAACCAATTCATGAAATGTTTACTTGAGAAAAATATTAATGTGCTGGGATAAACGATGTAGTGATTCCATCCCGTCAATGTTTGTTGAATGGTGCCATCATCATGTACATAACATACATTGTCTGGGAGATCCAATAGGATTAACAGAAATTATAAGACAACAGATTTTGATAAGAATACAAACAGCCTGTATAGAATATTGAATTTAGTTTTTTCAACTGTTTTCCACATAAAACAATAGGGTTACCTGGAAGAAAATCTCTCTTTGTAAAACAAATTATTAAAAACTTTTTAAATGGTAGAAACATCAATGTAATTAAGCATCTTAAAATTTTATACAAACACAATTGACACATTTTACTGCACTGAAAACACTGGGTGAATACAAACAGTTCTTGGCATGCACATCTTTTTCCTCTCACTCTTTTCTGTTACAAAAATTTGACATCATTACAACCGATGTCAAAAGATACACACTGCCATAAACAAAGAACAACTGAACAATCTGGATCTTAGGCTGTTATATTACACTATTATACAGGTTTATTCTCAACTAATATAAGCAATGACCATTCAGTTTATAGGACAACCTCATATTGAGGGCTGGAGAAGGAAATATTTCTAATTAATGTAGTTTATATACTTGGGAATAAGACCAAAATCAAATATTAGGGTAAAAAAAAAATATTTTAAATCTAGGGCGAGATTTTTTTTTTTTTTTTTTGTAGTAATATGTTGGGTTTTTTTACCCAAAGAGATGTCCAAAAATAGTTGCAATTTCCAGCTTTAATAAATTGAATACATTAATAACTAAGAATTTTAGCTCCGTGGTTACCTTTTGACATACAGAAAGGTGGTGAGGGATGGTTAGCAATGAAACCTAAAATTAGGACTCTGCATATAGTAAACTGCCCACTGACTAACCTTTATTTCTAAAAATGTCTCTGTGCTTGGGCATCACAACATATTTTATTGTGGCCATGTTAACATGATTCCAACAGGTGCAATCAAGTGATATGTTATGACAATTTTCAGCGTCTTTCAAAATATACTTCAAAATACAATGACAAATACAGATTTAACATCTTGTGATTATACTATTTTTCCTACTCAGAAATTTAGGTTATTAAATCATGAACTGCCTTCACCTTTTAAATAAATAGGCAATAAAGGACTTAAAAGAAATAAAAGAAGTTTTTAATTATCTCCAGTGATTTTAATCAGTATTTTCCTGACTGATTTCTATCATATATAGGGTTATAAATAACATAAAATAATTTCAAAAGAAAAACAGAAAAATATGATTCCAGTTCTTTTGAAATTCCATTCACAAAATAAACCAATTGACCATAATATTCCACCAGACCTAGGCAAGAATAATTCTGAAATGGTCAACAATAGGCATAATCTATTCTAAAATGCCAAACCTAGGCCTGATTGATTTTTAAATGGCCAGACGTAGGCCTGATTAATTATGAAATGGACCACATATAGGCCTGACTGACTTCAAAATGGTCAGACCTAGGTCTGATTAATTCCGAAAATGCCACATCTAGGCCTGATTGATTTTTAAATGGCCAGACTTAGGCCTGATTAATTATGAAATGGACCACATATAGCCCTGACTGACTTCAAAATGGTCAGACCTAGGTCTGATTAATTCCGAAAATGCCACATTTAGGCCTGAATGATTTCAAAATGGCCAGACTTGGGCCTGATTATCTCCGAAAATGCCAGATCTAGGCCTGACCATTTCAAAATGGCCAGACCTACGACTGATTTATTCTTAAATGTTCAAACTTCATGCGAGTCAAATATCATGGGCACCGTACAAATAAATATGAGTTTATATTCAGCACTGATGTAACTAGTGAGGTAGAAAAGACACTTGTTTGCTGAATTTTTGAAAAAATTTTAGTGATAACATAAGTTCCTTGCAATACATATCTGCCTAGATTAAACATATAATACATTTTCCTTTACCATGTGGTCAGTTAAAATCACTTAACATCAGGTACTCTAAACAAAACAGATAAATCCAAGTGGACACACATGATTTGTAGACACAGGCAGTCAACCGATCATAGAGCTGAATATGTTTTTTTTTTTTGACATTTTTGAAAATTATATGCAAATCTTGGTTATTGCAAAGAAATATATGAGCATAGCTCCTAAACAGTTAAAAAGAAAAACAAAATTTGGCAAGTATTGGTTACGATGTAAAAAATAAAACATAAAAAATATCCCAAATGTACACACATTCCAAAATAATGTGTTCAGATTTTTTTTTTATGGAAAAAAGAAATTACATTATTTTTTTAGAGTTGTCTTGATGTTGCAGTGTTAACACACAGTGTTTAGGTACAATGTTTGCACTCGGTTGTGACAATTCGATTGTCTGGATATAAAAAACATAATGAACAAATCTAGGGTAACCTTAGAATTCTTTTTAAATGGTTCTAAGCTGAGTATTATATAACCAACTCTTATTACCCAACCCCTTGAATACCAGCAGATTTCTCATCTAAGCTGATTACACACTCTTATTACCCAACCCTCAAGTATCAGCAGAGTAAGTGTATGCTTCTCTCCTCTGCTACCCAACCCCGGGATCCATAGCAGATGAGCTAGCCCGTTCCAAAGACATGGACGTAGTGGTGTGTTCGTGTCATTTGCTGGGCTTGCTGCATTCGAGTCCTCACTGTCGCAAACCAAGATGCCACATCTACACGGGCTACCTCGTAACGTTTGAAAAAACCATGTTCCTACAAGAGAGAAAAACCATCTAAATTGGTACAAACTTCTGGAATTATTTTACAAAGAGGAAAAGAATTACTGCAAAATATGACTACTTACCATTAAGGTCTTGTACTTGGGCCGTTTTGTACAGTCCTTAGTCAGGCTGCAAGAAAACAGAAAATATAACGTTAATTGTGATATCAGAATTATCAGAAAATGTAAATGTAAATTTGCTCTTCAACCTGTGTTCACACTACAGTAACATCTCCCAGTTACAAACCTCCCAGTTACAAACCTCCCAATTACAAACCTCCCAATTACAAACTCTCAATTTTATATTGTGAACCCAATTTGCAGCGATGACGTCATTATGTATGATCGTCTTTAACTACAAAAACACTTGTATTTTAACAATATTTGTTTTTAACTACAAAAACAAATTGTATTTTAAAGTCTTCAAAATTAATATAAAATGTTATATCAGCTAAGAAAGAAAACATTTAAACCAATAAAATGACATAAAACTAAGTTTAAAGCAAGAAATATCTATCGTTTTCAGCTGAGATATATTACATTTGAGCTGTGTATGCTTGTTCAGGCATACTGTAGATCTCACTTTTTGTTCATTGGGGTGCTATTCGCATGGATTCGTAATTTTTATGAACAGAATTTTGGCCATTATTTGGTCATGTTATCATTGGGAAATCACTTCAAATAAATACTTCCACAGTGAGCACAATTAGTTTTGGCTTCTGAAAAGTATTATTTTGTTGCAGAAAATAGTAAAATCCAAGTCTCCCATGGCCAGGCTTAGGCCTACATAGCCCTGTACTTTAACATACACCTGTAGGACTACCCTCACTGCACTGAGATGCTATGAAAATTCTTACTCTCTGAATTACGAATTTTCTCATTTACGAACCTTATTTGCACAGAGGGGTATGTAATTGGGAGATGATACTTATCAAGTTTTATATCAGTCTGTTATTTCCACAGGGAGACTTCTGATGGCCAATTTTCTCCACCACCCCGGTTGTTATCAGCCTGAATTCTTATGTACAAGACTGAATTTTTATATCTATTATTTGTTTCACTTATCATACAAGCCTATATAATACAGATTTAATATCTACCTTCCAAAATAATTAAAAGTAAATTGTGTTTTCAATATCCCAATGCAGTATTCTCTGAAGGTAATAATTCAAATTATTTTGGGTCATAATTATCTGCATGGGATTTCCATGCACACTCTGCAACATTTTGTGAACTTTCTTTATAATAACTGGGTCACATTTTGAAAGGTTGCAAGTACAATACTGTACCATGTAAATAATGTCATGAGTGTTAGGTATTACATCCAACACAAAGCACATCTGTAACACACAGACCAGAGTCGAGTATAGAAATGAATTGCTGTTGTAAATATTAATTCAACACTGAGGACTGAAACCATAGGGTTTTTAACTTATTTTTGCAGGCCACAACAAAATTGCTGTTGGGCTTAATGGGGTTCGTGGGTCACATTTTGCCCACCTGTAATGTAGATGATACATTTTCCCTCATATATTACAGCCAATAATTATTTAAAAAAGGAACTTTCCTTTTCTTCAAACGATTTTCCTTTTCTTCAAACAAAAATCCATGAAATTTTAACAAAAACTGGCAAAGTAAGTTCTGAAGATTGTTTAATTATCAAATTAAAGCGAACAAAATTTGCCCTCCACTTCTTTAACAGATATATGTAAAATCACTGGTAAATGTACATAAAAAGTTTAACTGAATTAACAAAATAGCCTAACACAAAAAGTTTACTTTAAAAAGTAATTAATCTAATTAATTAATCAAAAAATCTCTAGTATGAACTAGAAACTTATGGTGCACTGAGGTACCAGTAACTACCCGCAAATTAATGTCAAAATCGCGGGCAATATTGCCGACCTTAGGGTGAACTCACATTTACCTGCGCTGGAGAGGAAGCAGTTATTAAAACCACAATATTAGTATTTTCAACACGTTCAGGCTATCCTACTACTGTCTGCTAATTCTGTAGCCCTGAACTGTCTATCCTACAGGCACTGTCCTGAGGGGAAATAATCTACCTACAAATCTTGTCCTTAAGGTACACAGAATAAGGTATTATTTCATCAGATAAAATAGGCAAACAGTATTTTAAATTTGATCATCTATCATGTGACCCAATTCATCATGCTGTTGTTTTTAGAATTAAAATATTTGTTGAGTTGGATTGATACTATTATTATTATTATAAATATTAATAATATATTTATATTACATTTCTTTATTTGACCATTTAACAAAACAAAAAAAAAATAGCCAGGAGGGGCATACAAAGTCATTATATTATTCAGAGATACAAATTCTTGCAACTGTTCTATTCCCCTTACATTTACAGTTGTTCGGTGTGGTTTAATAGAAGCAAATCCAACAGATTCATGCTTGTAGCTAGTGGGTTTTTTTTTATGGCAATCAACCCTCTTTTCTGGCAAACCCCCCTCCAGTAAAATTCTCTAACCCAACTGATGCAAAGGAGACCCACCCAGACGGAATGTTTTGTTGCAGAACTTCTTCAAACATATCTGGTCTTATAGCATTATTTAGACCGATAAAAAAAACACAAAAATCCTCTGGAGTCAAAAGTTTCGCTAACCCCTGGGGCTTCGCCGCAGAGACCCCATGCCCAGAAAACCTCCCCTCCCCCTTTGAAGAACCTGGCTAGGGTCCTGTGATTTACCTGCAATGCTTAATATTCATGGTTATGACATATTTATGTTATATCATTTGTCTATTTATTAAACCATTTACATAGGATCTTTTTTACACTAAAAATTAATTTTTAAACACTGCAGTACCCGCTGCTTACTTGGACTCGAATTCAACCCTGGCCATCAGGCGCAAGCTCGGTGGTCTAGAGGTATGATGCTAGGCTAGTGATCTGGAGATCGTGGGTTCGAGTCCCACCCGAGAACAACTTGCAATTTTTTTCGCAGTTGTTTTCAAATGTACTGAGTATTCGGTACATTTCCACGTCAGGTAGGGCAAA